GCATTATGCTCCAATTCTGTACGGAGTTATTTGTTCAGTATTCGGTTAGCATGCAGACAGCCATTTTGTCAGGGAATCCTGATGGGCGGCCTATACTTTGTAGCTTACAATACAGTGTTCACATTTGCCTCTGCAATGTCCGGGGAGCAGCAAGCCAGTAATGCAGGAACTCTTCCCTGGTGGGCGATAAGGAGGAGCTAGATGTAAATGAAAGGGACAACAAAGGTTACAATACACTGAAATGCCAGCTGTTGTAATGATAGGGTAATGCAATAAGGCACTTTAGACCGTGCTCACTGCATCCATTCCTGAAGGGAGCTCTCCAGTGGAACCAATTGTTATGTAAAGGTTTTCCCAGGAAGGTGGAGGAGTGAGAGAAAGCGATGGCAAGACGTGCTGCGGCCTGCAACAAGCCCACACACCAATGTCCTTTGGCCAGAACTACAAGGAAAGGTTGCACCAAAACATTGCCTGCCCCTCATAGAAAGGTGTGGTAGACATGCACACAATACCAAAAGCTGCATGTACAACCTCCCTAATACAAAGGGGGGGGGAGGGTATGGGTTGGAGGCAGGATTCAGAATTTGTACCAGTGACAATGAGTAGCCTTTTACTTTAGGCAGCTAGATGCAGTCCATTATTGAATGGTCCTCTCATGGAGGGAGCAGCCCAAGACCACAAGAGTCAAAGCCTGGGGAGAAAATGATAGATGGGGGAGAAAATGATAGATTCCGGGAAGAAAATGATAGATATGGGGAGAAATGATAGATTCCGGGGTGAAAATGATAGATATGAGGAGAAATGATAGATATGGGGAGAAATGATAAATTCCGGGGGTGAAAATGATAGATATGGGGAGAAAATGATAGATATGGGGAGAAAATGATAGATATGGGGAGAAAATGATAGATTCCGGGGAGAAAATGATAGATATGGGGAGAAAATGATAGATTCCGGGGAGAAAATGATAGCTATGGGGAGAAATGATAAATTCCGGGGTGAAAATGATAGATATGGGGAGAAAATGATAGATTCCGGGGTGAAAATGATAGATATGGGGAGAAAATGATAGATATGGGGAGAAATGATAGATTCTGGGGAGAAAATTATAAATTTGATGTATCCTCACTGTGTAAGAAAAGCACAGAACTGAGACCTACCCCACTATTCCTGATGCTGAAACCATCTACCTGCCATCCATACTCTGAACTAGAGGGAGGTTTAGACTTCATCAGCAAACAGGAACTCCAAGGCAAAAACAAAACAAATTCCAGTTCTGGGTTAAGTCTCTGTATTTCACAATACTGCTAGTTTATCTGCCTGAAATCTTTACATGGTCTTCCTGCAGAAATCAGAACGGGGAGTTATGCAATCAGGCAGCACTGCACAATCTGGATGTTTTCAGGCACTGGGAGCTGAATGCTGTTTGGGGTGGAGAGGAGGAGGAGGGCACTGTGAGGACCTCAGCAGTGAAGCCAATTCATTGTCCAATGGGAAGGCAGCTGTATTCCTATTTCTGGTTCAGATCTGAAGCTGCCTTTGTCATCTGGCCAGCTTGCCAATGGGAAAACAAGTCAGCATCACCACAGTGGGCGGTTCAGTGTGCAGAAACAAGGAGGGGACACAGAAGGCTGACGCAGGATTCGGTGATGTCACTTGTATGATCATGCGATGTCAGAGGTGTACAAAACAAGACAGTCTCTATACAACTAGCAATCCTTTGGCAGGTAAAGCCATTAAAAGCTGATCATGGTGAGGGAAGCCGGTGATGCCAGAACATTCAGTCCACATCCATCGGGGATCATTTGGCTTCTATTTTCTCAACCCTTCTGGGTTCTAGAGCTACAAGAATGGACAGCTCCTGGAACGGGGAATACATTTCTATTTCCTCTTTATAGTTGTTCTCATTATAGGGGAGCTGCCCTCGTCTTTGCATAATGTGGAGAACAATTTAGTCCTTGCTGGTAACAGAAATCGTTGTCCTCTATGGGCAGGTATCAGAGGGCTGCGATTGGCACTGACCAGAGAAGAGTGCAACCAATGGCTGCCTATGTTCTACACTGCCCTACAGAGAACACACCTACATGCATTGTAGGAGATTGGGGATTGCTTGCCTATTGCAGGTTTGATTTTTGTCATGTGCACTTTGCTTTAAGAAGAGGGATTGGGGGAGGATTGTGGCTCTTTAGATGTCTATTTCAACTATTACCAGCGGTCTCCATTACTGATGCTGGGAGGAGTACTAGTATACAAATCAGCCAATCTCCTGATGACGGCTATGGCATGCAGAGGAGGGGAAACAACCACACACAGGTCCTACCTCCCCCTACATCACGGTAAAAGCTGAACTCCAGGAAAACGAAAGGTCCTCCCTTATGGAGTGGTAGTAACACTGCTTAGCTATGTCTAGGGGGACCGGTGCAGCGGATTTACTTACCTGACCCTTCATGCTTTAAGACCAGTCCCTGAAAGCTTTTCTTCCCTACATCCCACCAGTCTAAGGTCCTCTAACCTCATCAAGATCGATGCAGGGACTATACTATAGCCTGGGACTGGACATGAGGATGAGGGACAGTCCACTGCAGGAGTATTGGCTTTCCCATCCCCCGGTCAGAAAGGAGCAGCTAACCCTTGGGCTGTAAAGGACGCATCAGGAATGTTCTTTATATTACATGATATGTTGTGTTTCACTGGGGTTATGGTAGGAGGCCGGCCCGTGAAGAGGTAACGGCTGCTTGGAGGTTTTTGGGAGAAACACTGAGGCTGCAGGTGCAGACTTCATTCTAACATGCTGGTTGCTAGGCTGTCACATGCCAGTGCTCTTGCTTTATTACCTGGAGTCATTAATCTGGTGTGAACATACAGATAAATACTGCTGGCGTGGCTGTGACCATCCTGAACAGTTGTTCCAGGTCAGCGACAACGTACTGGCAGAGGATCAGCGTAATAACCGGGCAATAGCAACACCTATCATTCTTCCTACAGTGAACACTAATATTCAGATGGAGGACCAGTCCACTTACGGCCCTTCATGGAAAGCACATCTATTTGTGAATGGCACTGTTCATACTGGACCTGTATGGGGGAAAATATACCACAAAAGCACAGTAAAAGGGCATCCTCAGATCCTTTTTCATTGTTTTCAGGACATGCTAAAACGCATGGCTCATTCAAACCAAGATGGAGCCTTCTGTAATTAGGAAAAAGGCCTTCCTATCAAATACTCCGCCCAGAGAGTGAAATGTGTCAGAGAAAACATGCTGTAAAGGAAAAGACGTGGACCATTCGGCAAACTTTTGTGAAGGAGGAGCAGGGAACGAATAAATCCTACATAGACTGCACAAACAGCCACACCAAATCACAATCAACATTTTCACAACGTATCAAAATAAACCACATGATGCAAACAAATGCACGTTTGTTCGTAGTAAACATTTGGCATGGCCGTTACTTCAGTCTACATGGGTTTTCCTTTTCATTGGCTCCACCGCCTACGGTTGGCCCAGCTCTATTCTGGCATCATGGGGGGGGGGGGGGGTTTGCTTTGTGCACATGACTGCTACCCAATCAGATTATTACAAATAAAGGTTGCCTGAAAGTCTTTTTAATGTTTACTATATATATGAAATATGTGTTCAGATGTCAAGACAGCAGTTATTTACAGAGGAAATTTAACCTGAAAGCAATGCAAAAATATGTTGCTGATATTAACTGGGGGACCAGGCCAGCCTATTACTGATCTGTAAAGGTGTTACTAAAGACTACGAAGCATAGACAAAGCAAATGTAAACCTAGAATATCCAAATCCACTGAAAGTGCACACAACTGTCTGCATCATCTTACCCATCTAGTAACACTAGGAAGACTTGTATGTAATCATTTGTACCTGGGCCTCCTTATTCCACTTTTATATATAACAAAAAAAGAAAAAAAAAAAATATATAGCAACCCACAAATATTCACAGACTCAATATGGACCCCGTGTCCTCCCCACCCCCCAAACACCCAGCAGTCCTGCTCCTCTGTCCCCACAGACTGCAGCTACAAGACAGGCTGGTTCACACTGTTCCTGCTGTAAAAGATTCATAAGTGTTGGCTGTAAGACATGGACGCTGCAGCCAGAAGACATCGAAGAAACACCTTTCAGCAATCCCCTCCCTTCCCTCGCCAAACGCCCTGGACAGTCTAGTCTGCTTTACTAATACTTTCACATTGTTTTGATTTTTTTTTTTTTTGTTTAAAATTGCAAATAAATAAAATGTCAGTAAGTTACCAAAAGTCATTTCTCATTGAGATGCTGGCACATATTAAAAAAATAACATACATCTGTCTACCCATTTCTACACTGTGGGACAAGGACGGGCACGTCGGCAGCTAACATCTACTCTGCGGCCCAGCCATGGACAGGCAGGTAGTACTGCTAGTCCTGAAGTGCCCCAACCCTGCTTAGACACACATTTAAAAGGAAAAACATCATAAGGACCTTAAAATACTGACTCAACACACATTCCTCCTCCAAGCCCCCTCCAAGCTCTGTGGCCAGGTCATCAAAAGGAAGGATTTTTTTTTTTTTTGGTACATCACACTGGAGAGTTTTGGAGAAGAGGGGAATCTTCTGTTTGTGGACAGCTGTGTTGGCCCCCTCTCCCTGGCTCCACATTTACATTTGCAGAAGGAGGAGCTCTCCGAAGCTCAGTGTCCACACATACACCTCAAGGAAATCATAAAAAATAAAATAAAGACTGATATCTATGCTTGCTGTGGAGGCTGCTGCAGGCACACACTGGTGTAAAGAGAGTAAAGATTTGATTCTATTTGTCACTTGGCATGGTGCTGGCATGAAACGCCAGCTCACACGTGGAACACACAGAATAAAAGGTTGATTGGCAAAACTCCAGTGCTTACGCCCCTGTCCTGGGATGGTTCTGATCCTGTACGGCCCAGGAAGCGGTCAGACGCGCTTTGTCTTTTCATAGTACCCTCGGTCACAGGACAGCAGGTCACTTAGTCTCTTCTGCCTGGGTGCAGTTCTGGACTGGTGAAGGGAAGGAGACTGTGGCTGGCTTGGGGTCGGGAGGGGGGCTGTTGGCAGTAGCACTGCAGTCCTGGCTGTGGTTGGGGGTCACCTCTGAGTTGACAGGTTTGGTGAGGTCGATATCCTGAATGAGCCGGATAAGACGTTTCACTTTGTCCAAAGAGCTGTGCATGTCTTTTTGCCGGGACAAGATGCTGTTCTTCATTTCTATGCATTTCTGGAAAACACAAAAGAAGCTGTAAAAACCTTGTGGAGACTAAGAGGCCGAATTATGAACACAGGAGCTAAAGAAGAACTGTAGGATCCAGGTCCAGACGTGCCTGTTTATACTTGCAGCAGCTTTCAGTATCCTCCCCTCACACAAATGCTGAGCTGGCTGTGACAGGCAAAACGCCAATACTTGTGGGCGGTACCAGAGCTTGATGTAAAGCCCCTTCCATTCCTACTGGCCCATCATTAGGATGAGCTGCCTCACTGACCTGTAGGAATGTGTGGAAGGAGGGAGCCGAACTCTTAGCATTCTGGGTACTGAAAGTGGCAGCAGGTTGAACCAGTTTCTATTAGTCTGTATTCCTACTGGGGAGATTGTGCAGCACTGTAAAAGGAAGTGGAGGAAAGACAAAACAGGAAATGATAGGTAAAGCCAGCCATCCAAGGAACAGAACTGTTAGCTGTGCTTACACTGGCTTCTGTTCACCCAACAAATAAAAAAAATCATACAATGCCCATCCACAACTATGCCCCATGCTACATCACCAACCCGATCTCAATATATTACTCATCCGTCTTCTCCACTTCTTCCACGTCCTCCTGCGCTCTAGTCACCGGAGCCTCTGTTCCCCTATGGAACTCCCCATCCACCGATTTTCTGCTTAATCTGTCTTTAGGTGATCCAAGAAAGCTCATTTCCAGAGAAGTTATCCCTCCTCCACCCAAAAACTGACCTTTTACTTTCACCATCAGCAAAGCCCTTACATCAGGGGTGTCCAACCTTTTGACTTTCCTAGGCCACATTAGAAGAAGGGGAGCGGTCTTGGGCCACGCATAAAATACACTAACAATAAGGACTGCCGGTGAGCAGAAAGTCGGTCAGATCACAACGATCGGTGATATAGATAATATACCTGAGTAATAAAACTTAATTTTGTTTGTAATATTTTTTATTATAAAAGTAAAACAAGGCAAAATAAAACTAATCCGCTATTTGCTACAGTGTTTGATAAACTAAAGCATCAATATCTGGTTGGATGGATGCAGCAATTCTCCATGAATTCTCAGATTTTTTGGTTCTAATTTGCCCTTCGTGTGCTTCATCCTGGAAGATAGTTGCTCACAAATATAGGTGCTGCCGAAAACTGATGACATGAATAAGGTGTGATTGTGAGGAGTGGGAGATTTTTCTATGGGAAGACAGAACTTAGAAAAGTCCAGTAAAGAGACAATATCAAATTCAACATTTTTAAATATATTTAGTTTTGTGCTCGGCCACGTTTCATAGCTGTCTTGGGCTGTATGGGGCCGCAGGCTGGACACCTCTGCCTTACAGTTTTTACACTTTTCTTTTAGATTGTAATCTCTGGCAATCAGGGCCCTCCCTTTCCTCTTGTATTAAACTGCATTTTAACTCTATGGTCTCCCTTTATATTGTAAGGCACTGCCCAAACTGTGGTCACTATATAAATCCTGTATAATACTAGCAACCCGCACATCCTTGCAGATCCTCTATTATTATTACTACAGGTACTTATACAGCATCATCAATCTATGCAGAGCTTTACATATATATAATACAGTATTTATATAGCGCCAAAGGGTATGCTCAGCGCTGTACAGTAGCAAGGGGGACAGAACATGAGACAAGACAGTAACAACACACTACACGAGGGGTTCGAGGGCTCTGCTCTTTCGAGCTTACAATCTAGGATATATGGTACATTCAAATCAGTGACTGCCCTGAAGAGCTTACAATCCAAATTCCCTAACTCACATTCGTACATATACATACTAGGGCCAATTAACCTAATAGCATGTACATATACATACTAGGGCCAATTAACCTAATAGCATGTCTTTGGAGTGTGGGTTTCCTCCAGGTGCTCCGGTTTCCTCTCACACAGGCAGAACATACAAACTCCAGGCAGGCAGTGCTGTGGTTGGCATTCGAATCAACAACCCTGGTGTTGTCAGGCTAGCGAAAAGATGCTAGTGGAAAGATCAGTATTTCTTCAATTCTGAACCTAAAATACTCGCAGTTTGATATGGATCTAAATTTCTTTTTATTCCCTAAATATTATTGAAAATAAAAATTGTAACTAATTTAATGCAACAGTATGTGGGAATATGAATAATGCAAACCTAAAGCAAGCACTGGTCAAAAAGGACTGATAAACTGCTGGACTAGTTACAACACAGGCAGAGTCGATACTGTCCCTGGAAAAGTAGTAATTATGTCATGAGGGATTCCTAGTCCCGTATCCTCAGAAGCGGGGATGCCAGCGACAGCTGTAAGCATGGATCTTTATTAATGGGTTAATCCAATTTCCTGGCCGCTTACCGTTATGGAGCTGCTGAGTTGTTTCACTTTCTGCTCTAGTTGCTCTCGCTCCTGTTTCAGCTCTGAGCTCCACTTGAGTAATTTTTGCTTCTCTTCTTCTTTTGCTTTTAAGAAAAATGTTAAATGTTGAATAACAGGACAGTCTCCACAGTGAGAAAACACATACACACAGTAATCAGGATGATGTACACAAGACCTTTTGCCTTGCCAGCTGCCCAGTGTATGCGCTTCTGAGACCAAGAAGCATGCATGAGGGTACATGGCAGCTTACTTATCATGGGAGCTACTACTGCTGGTTTTGTAGAAGTCCAGGTTCCATGGTGGGCAGCCTGATTATTATTATTATACAGTATTTATAAAGCGCCAATGGTTTGCTCAGCGCTGTACATTACAAAGGGGGACAGAACATGTGACAGAACAATACCAATACAATGCAAAACATGAGGGGATCGAGGGCCCTGCTCTTTCGATCTTACAATCTAGGAGGGGAGGGGGTGGTGGCACAGGAGGAGATAGCTGTGGGGGATGGAGTGGTAGGAAGAGTGGAGGAGGTCGGCAAGTTAGCAGGGGGTAGGGTAGGCTTCCCTGAAGAGATGGGTTTTCAGGGTGCGCCTAAAGGAGAGGAGAGTAGGTGATAATCTGATGGGTTGGGGCAGGGAGTTCCAGAGGATGGGTGACACCCTGGAGAAGTCCTGGAGGCGGGCATGGGAGGAGGAGACCAGGGAACTAGAGAGAAGGAGGTCTTGTGAGGAGCGGAGTGTGTGCGTGCTGGGCGGGGTACTTGGATATTAGGTCAGTGATGTAGTTTCGGGGCAGTATGGTGGACAGCTTTGTACGTCAGTGTTAGGATTTTGAATTTGATCCATTGCGCAATCGGAAGCCAGTGGAGGGATTGGCAGAGGGGGGTGGCGGAGATGGAGCGTTGGAAAGGTGAATGAGTCTGGCAGCCGTATTCAGGATGGACTGAAGCGGGGATAGCCAGCGGCGAGGCAGGCCAGTGAGGAGGGAGTTGCAGTAGTCCAGTCGTGATATGATGAGGGAGTGGATGAGCTGTTTAGTGGTTTCTGGGTTAGGAACGTGCGGATTTTGGCGATGTTGCGGAGGTGGAGTCTGCACGAGTTTGTTAAAGATTGGACTTGGGGCTGGAAGGATAGGTTGGAGTCCAGAATGACACCAAGTACTCTGGCCTGCGGGGCGGGTTTGGCCCGATTCTGGCTTACTGTTAATACTTAGTGATTCACTCACCTAGGACAACTATGCATGTAAGTGAAGTGTAAAACTTATGTCCAGCATACTTGTTTTCAAGTCAATGCTTGACTAGGTAGTGCAGCCAGAATGAGGGTGGCGGAAACTACAGTTACTAAACCAAGTTAGCAATGGCAGCTCCAATACATATAGATAACAGGTCCCCTTTATCAACATCTGTGGCATACAGGTTCCCATGATTCTGTCAGCCTCTTACCCAGACACTGAGCTTGTGTAATTTATAGGCATCAGCAACTCAAGGGACAACCCGGCCACAAAGTGATTATAGCCAGTAATAAGGAAAGGGCATGCCCCACTAGTTGATAATCTATCCAGTACATGAGCACATCTATACAAATTGGAAAATGTACGTCTCACTTCTATGTTTTATTACTATAACTGGAAACGACATCTGAAGTGTCAGCTTGTGGGGAAAAACAGATACAGTGATGGATTTACTGAAGGTAAATAGTACTTTACAACTGCAGTTGTTCCAAAGCCAAGTAATGAGGCGAAACGCCATTTTGCAAAAGAATACCCAATCAAATGCAAGGAAAAAAAAAAAAGAAAACCGCATTTTTTCTTGTACATGATTGGATGATGGAAGTCAGCAGAGCTTCCCCTCATTTACTAAGCGCTGGAGAAGCACTTCCAAAGTGTAACGTCTATTTACCTTTAAGTAACTCCACTCCACTGTGTCAATAGCTAAAGACCTCCAAACTTCAAGTGTAGAGAGCTTCATGGGTTTCCATGGCTGAGCAGCTGCATCCAAGCCTGACATCACCAAGTGCAATGCAAGGCATCTGATGCCGTGGTGGAAAGCACGCCGCCACAGGACTCTAGAGCAGTGGAGACATGTTCTCTGGAGTGACCAATCATGCTTCTCTGTCTGGCAATCTGTTGGACGTGTCTGGGTTTGGCGGTTGCCAGGAGAATGGAACTTACCTGACAGCATTGTGCCAATTGTAAAGTTTGGTGGAGGGGGGATTATGATGTGGGGTTGTTTTTTCGTGGGTTGGGCTTGGCCCCCTAGTTCCAGTGAAGGGAACTCTTAAGGCATCAGCACCAAGACATTTTGGCCAATTTCATGCTCCAAGCTTTATGGGAACAGTTTGGGGGATGGCTCCTTCCTGGTCCAACATGACTGCACACCAGTGCACAAAGCAAGGTCCATAAAGACATGGATGAGCGAGTTTGGGGTGGAGGAACTTGACTGGCCTGCACAGAGTCCTGACCTCAACCCCATAGAACACCTTTGGGATGAATTAGAGCGGAGACTGTGAGCCAGGTCTTCTCGTCTGACATCAGTGCCTGACCTCACAAATATGCTTCTGGAAGAATGGTCAAACCTTCCCATAGACACCCTCCTAAACCTTGTGGACGGCCTTCCCAGAAGAGTTGAAGCTGTTATAGCTGCAAAGGGACCCTACGGACTAAGACTGGGATGGGAGTAAAGTTCATGTGCGTGTAAAGGCCGGTCGACCAATACTTTTGGCAATATAGAGAAGGTCTTTAGGCTCCATGCTCACTAGTGCTTTAAGCTTAAAAACCACTGGATAAAAAACGTTGGTAATAGTGTGCTTTAGTAGCATTTAGGAGCCTTAGCTTTTTTGTAGATTTTTTTTTTCCTACATGTACTATAAAAATGCTGTTAGGAGAGTTTTAGTAGTGTTTTTTTCCACCAGAAAAACTCCCAAAATGTCTACAAAAACAAATTTCTCTGCTGCTAAACGCCGAAGCTTGAAAAAACGCTACTAGCCTAAAATAGTGTGCATGGAGACATAAGACAACACTATTCGCTTCTAGGAGCAGAAAAAAAAATACTGATAACAGCTTTATGACCTTAACAAAATGCTAGTGTGCATGGAGCCTAAACTGGCACAGGGGTCCCATTTTTATTTCAGAGAAGGTTGTAGGAGGTGGGGAACACTTTTTTACATAATGCACAGGTCACTGGAACTCTTACAAGGCTGGTGAACTAGAAGCATGCATGCTGAACCTATTTTTCGTCTTGGCATAAAACAAGAACCACTACAATGGGCTTGATCCTGCTGTGATTTTATGGCCAATGTAGTAACACTCAGGTGAGGATCAGGATATTTAGGGGTAACCCTAGAAATTGATAATAATCATTTTGAAATTATAAATGCACTTAACACACAGAGGTTTTCCAACCTCAAAAGACCAGAAGGTGTTTACTGCTCCAGTTGGTTTAGGCTGCATATCTTAGAAGACCTCTCATAGTTGGACTGATGTTTCCTAAGGCCATGCTTCAGTATGGTTAGAGGTCTGCTGTTTATTACCTCCTATGGGGTCCTCATGCACAAGCTTTGAAGTATGACAGAGAAGACCTCATACCCACCTGCTTTATATGCAATATATGAGTGAACAATAGCCAACGTTCCAGGCCAGGGAATTGCTTCCTCTTTTTTGAGCATCTGGAAGAAAGAACAGTTTTAAAAAGGATGCTGCAAATATCATTTTCAAGAAATCAGATCTGCATAGGAAGCAAACTTGTCTACAGGATTACAAAAAAAAAAAAACAAATAATGAAAAGACTTAAAATCAATGTTAGACAAATGTGCAACAGATTTACTCATTATCATCAATCTAAAGTCCTTTGCAGCTTTAATTATTGACTTCCTGCAGTTACCAACACATACACAAACAACACCTGGCCAAACCTATTTCATCCAAGCCATAGGTGACCTGCTCTGAAATGAGCTCTTTTCTTCCAATACATTTACTGGTTTTAGAGTGGAAAAGGATTAAAATACCTGTCAGGTTTTTATTGCTGTCTGTACCCTCATTAACGAGATTCACCCTCTCTAGTTGTCCTGTTTACCATTCTCACCGAGAGAGAAAGTAAACCCAAAGGGTTGTCCCCAAAACAGTAATAGAGGGGAATCTTCCAAAGCGGAAACTAGTTCTGGTGGCAAATATGAATTCCTCAAAGTGATTTCCTCACTTCCTGTTTTGGCAATGGAACAGGAAGTGAAGTGAAAACTACCCAAATGGGACACAGAGGCAAAAGCAACAAAACCACAAAAAAGTGACAGAAGTTATATCCCTTGCTTACCCTTCTACTTTAAAGCGGATATTCACACCCTCGTTCTTGGCCAAAGTTGGAACATATATATATAATTTTTTGGGTTGGGGGCGGTTTGGGAGCAGGTACCTGGTTTTGACAGGTACCCGTTCCCTCTTCCACACAGATTGTCTAGTCCCCCATCCAAAACCTTCTGGGACATGTCACATGTCCCAGAAGGCTGCAGGACTAATCACACACCGTAGTGCAGCTCTCTGTCTGCGAAGCCACAAGCAGTCACAACCGGCACTGGGGACCCGAAGACCAGTGAGGAAACTGGCCTGGATGAGGATGGTGTTGGATCCTTGAACAGGTCTTTTTATTAAAAGTCAGCAGCTACAGTTTTTGTAGCTGCTGACTTTTTATTTTTGCTGAACTGACTGAAGAACCTGTTTAATATTCAGTTTTGAATGACTGCAATCACGCCCCTTCCCCACAAAAAATGAAATTTGTATATTTAAGAACATTTTTCCATCCTGCTCCTTTGTTCATCTTCAACTGAAGTGACGAGATAATTCAAACTAAATTTTTCAAATAAACGTCTACTTTATAGCCAAATTCTGTGATAATGCCCAAGATGGATGATTATGTTGGCAATAGTTGCCCCCCCCAAACTGTAAAAGTAAACATTGTTCTTTCCATCAAGTAATTCTGCTTTTTCATGTGTAAGGTGTAATATTTCCCAAAGTACAGCGTATTGCACAGTGCCCCATCTGAGAAGGCCTAATTGTGCTAAAAGGCCTAATCTTATTTGTGAATACTTTGCACAATTGACCTCACATATTTGGTGTTCCATTACAGTCAATGGCATGGGAACATCATGGAGATGATGCAGAGATGAAACCGGTCTCAATATTTAGAATGCAGCAGAACTCATGTTGCACACATTTACAGCACCAAAGCTGCACAAGTGCAAAACAGGACCTTGCTATCCAATCACACCCATGTGTATGCATTATTGTACCAAGTAGTGCATGCTATCATGCGTCTATACAGCACTTTCCATATGCTTTTTGTGTGTTTACCAGAGAAGGGACCCATCTCCATACCACAAAAGCACATGGTATATCACATAGGCTGAGTGCGCCCAAAGGTTTTTCCTTGCTGCCTAGCAGAGGGGGTGACATGGCTGCACACACTGCACAGTTTTCGGTCAACTAAAGTCTTCACGTTTTCGAAATATTTTCTTTCTTTGCATAATCTTGAGGGAGCTTGGCTACAAACATCCAGTTCTAAGGAAATCCCAGGCTAATTTTTTTTACATTATAGCTTGCAACCATGGCGGGTGCAATACAACTTATTCATGTCCTTTAGACAGAGTGACCAGCAGTTAAAATCAATGGTCCGATGCTTCGGACTCGGCACTTTAAAGCCAAGAGCCAGTGGGAAAGGAATCCCCTGTAGGAAGTCCCCCTAAAAACAACCCAGCTACAGGTTGTCTGAGGAAGAACACTTTAGAACCGTACTTTAATGAACCACTCCCCCACTCTATAGCAGAAGTACTGCTACAGGGTTGCAGGGATGCACAAAATCATGTATATATAAGTGATTTGCATTTCTGGGTAGGGGGCGCACCCATGCCGCTATTGGCTGACGAACATGTCAATCACTGCGTCCTTGCTGGCAATTCTCAGGCGGGACTCGGGGATCGTCTGCAGAGCTGAAAGGGAAGAGACCTGTGTGTAAACAACACGGGTCTCTCTCCTGTCACCATAGACATGCCGCTTTGCATTTCTCTGCACAGCAGAGAAATACAAAGCAGCATGTCTCCCTAGTAAAACACAACACAGCACATAGCATAAAACACACACAGCACACAGTTAACCCTTTGATCACTCCAGATGTTAACCCCTTCCTGCCCAGTGTCATTAGTACAGTGTCAGTGCTTTTTATTAGCACTGATCACTGTATTAGTGTCACTGGAGATGTCAGTGACAGTTAGTCAGTTCCCCCCCAGTGTCAGAATGCCCGCCGCAGTCGTGCTATAAGTCGCTGATCGCCGCCGTTACTAGTATAAAAAAAAAATATAAACATAAAAATTTCAGGATATATACTGCCATTTGTAGACGCTATAACTTTCACGAAAACCAATTAATATACAGGTGTTGGGATTTTTTTTTTTTTACCAAAGACATGTAAGCAGAATACATTTTGGCCTAAATTTATGAAGAAATTTTATTTTTTCAAATTTTTTTTACTCGGTATGTTTTATAGCAAAAAGTAAAAAATAACTGGGTTTTTTGTTTTTTTTTTTTAATTATCGGTCTTTTTTGCTTATAGCGCAGAAAATAAAAGCCACAGACATGATCAAATACCGCCGAAAGAAAGCTCTATTTCTGGGGGAAAAAAATTACAATTTGTATTTACGTACAGCATTGCATAACTGCACAATTGTCAGTTAAAGTAACACAGCGCCATATCGCAAAAAACGGCCTGGTCAGAAAGGGGGGTAAATCGTTTGGAGGGCAAGTGGTTCATAACCAGATAATTACAGTGGGGATCGAAAGTTTGGGCACCCCAGCTAAAAATTTGTATTAATGTGCATAAAGAAGCCAAGGAAAGATGGAAAAATCTTCAAAAGGCATCAAATTACAGATTAGACATTCTTATAATATGTCAACAAAAGTTAGATTTTATTTCCATCATTTACACTTTCAAAATAACAGAAAACAAAAAAATGGCGTCTGCAAAAGTTTGGGCACCCTGCAGAGTTAATATCTTGTACTGCCCCCTTTGACAAGTATCTCAGCTTGTAAACGCTTTTTGTAGCCAGCCAAGAATCTTTCAATTCTTGTTTGAGGTATCTTTGCCCATTCTTCCTTACAAAAGTCTTCCAGTTCTTTAAGATCTCTGGGCTGTCTGTCACGCACTGCTCTTTTAAGGTCTATCCATAGATTTTCAATTATGTTGAGGTCAGGAGATTGTGAAGGCCGTGGCAAAACCTTCAGTTTACGCCTCTTGATGTAATCCCCCATGGATTTCGAGGTGTGTTTAGGATCATTATCCATTTGTAGAAGCCATCCTCTCTTTAACTTCAGCTTTTTCACAGATGGCATCAAGTTACCATCCAAAATTTGCTGAAATTTTATTGAATCCATTTTTCCTTCTACTCGTGAGATGTTCCCTGTGCCACTGGCTGCAACACAACCCCAAAGCATGATTGATCCAACCCCATGCTTAACAGTTGGACAGAGGTTCTTTTCATTAAATTCTGTGCCCCTTCTTCTCCAAACGTACCTTTGCTCATTCCGGCCAAAAAGTTCAATTTTAACCTCATCGGTCCACAGAACTTGTTTCCAAAATGCATCAGGCTTGTCTATATGTTCATTTGCAAAGTTCAAACGATGATTTTTGTGGTGAGGACGTAGAAGAGGTTTTCTTCTGATGACTCTTCCATGAAGACCATATTTGTACAAGTATCTCTTTATAGTGGAATAGTGTACCACAACTCCAGTGTCTGCCAGATCTTTCTGGAGGGATCGTGCAGTCAAACGTGGATTTTGAATTTTTTTTCTCACAATCCTGCGAGCTGTTCTGTCTGATATTTTTCTTGGTCTTCCAGATCTTGCTTTAACTTCCACTGTTCCTGATGACTGCCATTTCTTAATTACATTCCGAACAGAGGATATTGACATCTGAAAACGCTTTGCTATCTTCTTATAGCCTTCTCCAGCTTTGTGAGCATCAACTATTTTCAGATTCAGTTTTCTAGACAACTGCTTAGAAGAACCCATGGTGCTGATTGTTGGGGCAAGGTCAGATGAGTCTGGGCATTTAAAACCTTTTAGATTGACATAACCTGGTCTTCCCAGACGATGATTGAGAACGATCCATGACACTGGCAGGTCTCAGCTTTGCAAAGGGGGCAGTGCATGCTATAAATTCTGCAGGGTGCCCAAACATTTGCAGACGCCATTTTTTTGTTTTCTGTTATTTTGAAAGTGTCAATGATGGAAATAAAATCTAACTTTTGTTGACATATTATAAGAATGTCTAATCTGTAATTTGATGCCTTTTGGAGATTTTTCCATCTTTCCTTGGCTTCTTTATGCACATTAATACAAATTTTTAGCTGGGGTGCCCAAACTTTCGATCCCCACTGTATATACTCTTGAGGATAAGGTCCCAACATGTAAAATGTACCACACAACTAAGCAGAACAATGTTTTTGATCTTCCAAAGTATATGTGCCTAGAATCTGCAAGCCATCATACAAGGAGACCACCACTTCACCGTACTGCACACCCAACATGGCTCACATGTCTAACGGTGCACAAAACTAGGAATTGCTTTCTTCTATGTTATTGTTACTTGGATTCATACTGAGCTAAAACCACGGTAATTCAAATTATTTATCAAGTTTTCCATTTAAAGGCACCTCCTTTAACCAAAAAAAAAAATGTAAAAAGAGTACTACACACTGCCATGTAACCCATACACAAGCAGCAGTATAATGCTACAGACAGAACACAGTGTTTACAAAGCATTCTGTTCTGCAATACATATTTTCTATAAAGCTAATAGGGAAACAATCAGCCCCACTTCAATGAAATCAGGTCTTTTATCCGGCTTTATTAAAACCAGACATAGGACTCTGCTGAAGCCTGTGTGTGAGCATGTTACAGTGGGGCGCTCCCAGGCAGGAATATTAGGTCGCTGGAGGCACTTACTTACTCCTGGAGTAATTGCTGTTTGACGCTCCCTCCAGTGATGACCAATTAACCAAAAGCCCAGGCATTTGGCCACAGGATATCTGCTCAAGTGAAGCATTGGCTTAATCTGAGGTTCTATGCTCTTCAACAGAAATCAAATGCCTAGGCTTTACGTTTTGTGATCAGCACTGAAGGAAGCCTTTCGTAGAATTTCCTGCAGAAAAGATACATATAACAGCCTTTCCTCTCACGTGTTGGTTTGCCATCCCACGCTATTAACACAGCTTTACATAACAATTATAGGTTTAGTGCTAGCCATACACATTGATTTTTTTTTTTTTTTTTTTTTTATTCTGTCCACCAATATTCACCTGGAGAAAAAAAAAGTTACTTTTGGATGGATTGACTCTTTACCACTTTAAAATTAATGCTTATAAGCATGGCTCTGGTCATTTAAAATGATGAATTTTAGCAGCATTCAGATTAACAGGCCATGCCTGGCTGTGGTACTGTGAAGCAATGTGTGGTCTGGGATGTGGAGTAACACTTGGCTGCCATATTACAGTGCTGCTCGTCAGTCAGACCTGAAGAGACAATTCTGCAGTGCGATAAGACTGGGGGATTGGGCAAAGCTCATAGGAGATCTAGCAATCCATAGGGCTATTCAGTGCTCCCTGTATCTGTCTATCACACGGTACCTGGTCTTGGCATTTGGGACATATCCACATGCCCTTGGGAATGGATTTCAGAGGAGGCTCCAAACAGTCCAGGTGGTATACACGTGAACATGTGTCGCACATCAGTAGCTGTCCGCTCTTTCTGCAGACGCTGCAAAAATCCTCATGGATATCAGCCTAAAGGAGTCACAGGAGAGAGAGGAGGCGAAAAGAGGGGTCAGCCCAAAAATCTGACAACTGCCCTTCTTTACTGTTTTATGAGCTGCAATTAGTATCTACTGATCTAGGGGGGAGGAAGGGAAGGGGTTCTTCCAGAATAGACAGATAGAAGGGACACAGAAGGGACTAGTGCACTGCAGAGCAAAGCAATGAGCGGGAGAGTATTGGACAGCAAGGTAGTAGAGATAAAAGAGCTGATGGAGTAGTATAAAGCACACTGGCGTGAAGAAAGTTTACCACCACCAAGAAAATCAGGGTATTATTCTGAATGCCACAATACATCTATAATCACTATTAGTATCTAAAGCAGAATGTAGCACAGGTCCTTCAGAAGTTAGAGAAAGGTGTAGTATAAAGTTCAGAGAGAAAAGTTCTAGATAGAAAGTTAGTTCTCTAATCCTCATCATAGAAACTTCGGGGAGCGTTTATTAAGTGACGCAGGCTGAAAACTTTTATGTGTCTCAGGACAAAATGGCAATTTTGCTATTGACAACTTTACAAAATAATTATAAAGTGTGCAAAAATCAAATCAGTGCGTGATTTAGAGAACAAATGTTACCACTTTGGTGAAATAGCAGATATTGTCCATTTTCAGCATACGCTAGTTTTATAAAAGCCCCTCCTATATGTGAGATACAAATACAGGAAAAACGCAGATATTCGCCAATGTATAAAGGTAAATAAAGACAACTGATGATTACAAAACACCATCATTGCTGATTTACTTACTAAGCACATTTTAGTTTATTTGTTGGCTGGGATGAGGCCCTGTCACTAACACATTTCCAACCCATCTGCTAATTTCCCTCCTACTGTACAAGGTTTAACCCAGGGGTGCTCAACCTTTTGAAGAGCGAAGGTCACAATAAAATGAAATGGATCAGAATTTCACATTTTTTCTTTTGAATAGCAAAATAAAAACATTTTCCTCCTGCGACCGCTTAATGCTGGGGGGGAGTGAAAGGAGGAAAAGCCAGCTTTCATCAGTCACAGGAGGGAAGTGGAGTAGATCGGTTCCTCTAAATGCCACCCCTGTTGCCCCTCCTTCCAAAACAGAATGTGACAGGTAGGCCGCACGGGCCCCCTGCAGTGGGATAACCATTGGGACCCCTGGCACTAAAGCAATGGTTGGGGGGTGGGGGGATTTGTGTTAAAAACATGTCTCAATTATGGGGTTTTACTGCCCCCAATCCACAAATGTAAAGAAACCCTTACTGTCCTGAGCCCCCCTAAGGCTACTTTCACACTAATACTCTGCTGTTTACCAGCGAGTGCAGCAGAGTGTACCTGCGGCTTTCCTGGAGGTTTTCTGTATTTTGCCATATACAGAAAGCGCACCAAACCTGCAGGATATATTAGAAGTCTATGGCTCGGTGCAGCTAACCAGTAGGAAAGCCGCAGTTGCACTGCATTGAACCCACAGATCAGTGTGAAAGCAGCCCAATAGCTGTTAATCCTTTTATAGGTGCCAATATGCCTACTTCAAAAGTGCAGTGTGTGTGTTTAATACACTGACCTTTTCCTCTTCCAGCTTCTGATGGTCCCAGGCGAAGTGCAATCGTTATCACTCCTCCTGGGACAGAAGCCGTGGCTACAGAGGAAGCATCAGCTTATGTGGATCCTGCTCCCTCTGCGGCTGCCTGCTTCTTCTGTTGCTGGGGCCATTTCGATGCACTCTGATGATCTGGGAAGGCGGGTCGGCAAGCCCAGATAAAAATAAATGAGTTGCCGACCCTGGGAAAGCATTTCCCTAGGTTGAGGTCAGGGGCCACATCAGGGCGCTACATGGGCCTCGGGGGTTGAGCACCCCTAGTTTACCAGTCAACAGGCCTGATTTGAACATTTTGATTCTGTCTTGTGGCCGGCTGAGACCACAGATGACAAAACAAAGAGAAATTCTATTATCTGGAAAACAGAAACCAACATCTAAAAGTAGAACCAATTTTATTTCCCAGTAGATGGAAAAAAAAAAAATTCCAAAAGGCTCGTTGACCCCACTTCGTTTCAGCTGTGTTGATCAGCACAAAGGCTCAATGCCAGGACACACAGAAAACAATATGTTTCTATGTGCTCTGTTCACACAACACTGCCTTGAGGTGGGATGTAGTGCATACCATCTTCACTGGCTTCAGCCGCCAAGTGCTTTGTGCAGGCAGTCCATTTAAGTGCATGGGGACACAACCACTTGTCCTAATTTGACAGGTGTGCAAGTGAGGGGCCCTGAAAGCATACAGTGCGAGTTTGGAGCCACACACCTGCAACTGTCAAATTGAGATGAGTGGCTGCATATGTGCAGCTGCTGCATCCCCATACACACATGGGCTACCTGCTCAAGCTGCAGAAACACAGCAGTACATTTACAGTCTATGGGCCTTGATGCCTGTGTAAATGAGGCCTCTTCCATTCCACGCCCAACCAGGTTTGGTGCACTTCAATTCCTGTTTTTTATTCACTAAGGCATGATGTGTTAGGTGGCCACCAACCATTTTAAATGGGCTATGAATGCACCTAAAGCACAAAAAATAGGTCCCGTATTCACATTTACATCTGTGCACTACTGCAGATGCCGTACTATACATCTGTGTACTATATACAGAAAATAATGATTTGATCCCCTGCAGATTTTGTAAGTTTGCCCACTTAGAGGGCACATATCATATGTGTATTTTAAATGATAGACAGAATATCTACAGAAAAAACACGATACAAATGTTGTAAATTGAGTTGCGGTTCAGTGAGTAAAATAAGTATTTGATCCCCAAGCAAAACACGACTTAGTACTTGGTGGAGAAACCCTTGTTGGCAAGCAAAGAGGTAAGACGTTTCTTGTAGTTGTTTACCGGGTTTTACATCTCAGGAGGGATTTTGGTCCACTCCTATTTACAGATCTTCTCTAAAGCCTTAAGGTTTCTTAGCGATCACTTGGCAACTCGAAGTTCCAACTCCTTCCATACATTTTCCATAGGATTAAGGTCTGGAGACTGGCTAGGCCACTCTAGGACTTTAACGTGCGTCTTCCTGAGCCACTCCTTTGTTGCCTTGGTGGTATGTTTTGGGTCATTGGCATGCTGGAAGACCCATCCACGACCCGTCTTCAGTGTTCTGGCTGAGGGAAGTAGGTTCTCATCCAAGATTTTACAATACATGGGGCCGTCCATTAGCCCCTCAGTGTAGAAAAGTCAGCCTGTACCTTTAGCAGAGAAACAGCCCCAAAGCCTATTGTATCTACCTCCATGCTTGACTGTAGTGATAGTGTTCTAAGGGTCAGAGTCAGCATTTTTTTTCCTTCAAACCCAGCAAGTCAATGCCAAAGAGCTCAATTTTGATCTCATCTGACCACAAGAGTTTTTCTCAATCCTTCTCTGAATCATTTAGATGTTAATTGGCAATCTTTAGACGGGCCTGCACATGTGCCTTCTTGAGGAGGGGGACCTTGTGGGTGCTGCAGGACTTCAACCCATGGCAGCGTATTACCAATGGTTTGTTCGGTGACTGTGGTCCCAACTGCCTTGAGATCAGTCACAAGCTCCTCCTGTGTATTTCTGGGCTGATCTCTCAATTTTCTCATGATCATCCTTACCCCATGAGGTGAAATCTTGCATGGAGCTCAAGACCGAGGGCGATTGATGGTTATTTTGTATTTCCATTTGCGAATAAGCGCTCCAACAGTTGTTTCCTTTTCACCAAGTTTATTGCTGATGGTCTTGTAGCCCATTCCAGCCTTGTGTAGGTCTACAATCTTGTCCCTGACATCCTTTGAAAGCTCTTTGGTCTTTCCCAATGATGGTGAGGTTTGAATGGAAGAAAGAGATTCTGGGGACAGGTGTCTCTTATACACATAAATGTGTTGTCGTTTGGGACACCTCCATAAATTGACAGGACTAATCTGTGTACTACATGAGCTCATAGCCAGGCTGTGGGAGCCAGAATTATTGTTGGTTGGTAGGGGATCAAATACTTATTTTACTCAGTGAATGGCAACTCAATTTATAAAATTTGTATCATGTATTTTTCTTGATTTTTGGTTGATATTCTGTCTCTATCATTTAAAATACACCTATGATAAAAAGTATAGACCCTTCATTTCTTTGTAAGTGGGCAAACGTACAAAATCTGCAGTGATCAAATAATGATTTTCCCCACTGTATCTTCACAAAAGTTTGCCTTTACCAATGAACGGCAATGTACCAAAACACTTAAATAAAATGCATTGCAGTAACAAGCGTTAAACATGCACTGCGCTATAAAGGGGCCTTTAGGATTTAAAAAAAAAAAAAAGAAAAAGAAAAAAATGAATTCCTGAAAGGAAAATCATCCCGATATCACAGGACGTGTGATACAAAGAAAGTTACAGGATAATACAGAGAAAGACTACTAAATAGGACAGCCACTGAACAAACTCCACAGAACCTCCACAGAATAATAACTACTCTACTGAAACAGCCAGCGATGCCACGATGATCAATATTGAAAAGGACTGCAGGAGGTCAGTGATTAGGAGGTTAGTAAACAGAGGAGACAAGAATTAAACAGCAAGCAATAGACAATCTTGTAAAGCATCCGTCAACCTAAAAGTGATATTTCAGGTATAGATGTACTTTGGTCAGCCATGTCAGTCATGAGATCCCAATTCCATAGTTTATGGCCCCATTTCTTTACAGCTCGGGGCAGAGAGGGATCATGTATGTTTTTGCCATGCGCTAAAGCATGTTATATGTTGCATTAAGGCAGCCAATTTAAAATAATGGGCTGCCAGTATACCCAAACATCTCTAAAAAAATAAATCTGACATGTCACAAAATGTTGTAATGTAACACACTGATGCGTTGCCTTAGTGTTTTGGGAGTGCCAATCAGAATGAATGTCACTGCAGTAAACAAATATGTGTTGCCACAAAACGGTAGTTTCAACGTGGCCTAAGTGTTCATGACTGTCTTCTTTTGCAGTCTTCTAATATAAAGGAAGAATGGGATATTCTTGTCATTTTTATAACAGGAGTGCAGATTGGGGAAATCAAGAGCAGAGCTCTCACCACCAGAGCTCCAGAGATATAGAAGAAGCCGTTAGGCACCTTTTAAAATCATGGCTCCAGACCAAACTCGAGACATGAAAACAAAGGAAAAACTAGTGGCATAAATGGAAACAAGGGAAAGGTGAAGCAATGAAGAAGGCTGTTTATTACTGTTTAGTGATGATAAGGAAGTAAAGTGATATACACAAGAGAACATTATCTCCAATTTATATTTTTACATCATTTTCTTCCAGAAACCAGAGCAGCAAATCTACTGCCCCACATCAGATGTTGTGAACCCAGCCTTTATGTTGCAGCCCCAAATGCCAGTGTACCATTTGCTGGGACCCAAAACTGTCAAGTCAAATACCGAAAGCCTACAATTACACCAAGTTAGGGGAGAAAAAAAATCCCTTGTATGGGGCCCCCCTCCTCATTCCTGCACTGCAAGTGTTTATTGCTCATTTGGTATAGGTGTAAAGGAATAGGCTGTAATATTTACTCTAATCTTCACACCCTCCTCTTCTGGGCTGTGGGGAAAGGCCCTCACCACCCTCACGTACAAGGCAGGATTATTGCTCCTGCATTGATTTGATGACATCAGTGTGCGACTGCCGACTGGAGGCTTTGTGGAACCTGTCACACAGATGGAGGAAGCTTGCCAGTGCAAGAAATAAGGTAAGTATTACCACCTTATCCTTCTGCCCCTAGATAAAATGACCATTAAACCCTTGCAGTAAAGGGGTGTTAAATGCTTTAATTCCTGAAGTTCAGCTTTAAAAGATTTTGCAACGCTAAAACTACATTTAAAAAAAAAAGAAAAAAAGGAAAGCTGGATTGTGGTGAGTAAGAAGGAAAGACGACAATTTGCTATTCACATGACAGGTGCAGACCATGAAAGAAAGGTTACTTCACAAGAAAAGAACATTGTACAATTTAGATGAGGTAGAAGGCAGAGCAGAGAGCAGTTTAGGAAGAGAACATAGCACAGAATCTAGCAGAACCTAAAGAAGTAGAAGATGACATTCAAATTACACTGCAGGTAACAAATTTATTGAATTTTTCAGAAAACTAGGCAATGGTGACACTAGTAGTCAGGTTTAGAAAGATCCTAAACAACTAGAGAAGACCTTTTCTCCATTTTTGAACTGAATAATTTTGGGGAAACACATTTACAAAGTTAAAGAATGAACACTAATCTGCAAAGTCTCTGAGAATAACTCACATAGTTCTAAATGAAAGCAGTCATGTATCCATTAACATTAATTTAAACATAAATAACATTTGTACGTTTAGATCATATCACACACTCCACATAAGCAGCATTAATATGTATAACAGGCTGTTCGGGAAGCATGCATGGCCAGGGTTGGTTACAGGAGATCCCCAAAATCCACTCTGCCTGTACACATGCTGCTGCTGTCTATACCAGGACAAAGGGTCTTTCAGCTCGCCACACATTAGGACCCTTCTGGATTTACAGTCCCTTTCGTATTTGGAGTTACTTACGTCCGTGGAAATAGGATTAGGCAAGGACACAGGCAGGATGCTTGCAGGGAAACTACATGTGATCTGGGTCTTTTCGCTTTCAGGGGAATCAGGATGACTGGATGGAGGGGAGGTGGGTGGCAGGGCGCTCAAACCCAGGGCCGTGTTGTATTTGGGAGGACGACCTATATGTTAATAAACACAAACAAAACAAAAAAAAAAAAAAAGAAACAAAAATGGGGGGATTTACATACCTTTGGCCAGTGTTCCTCATTGGCTAGCATGGAAAAGGAAATTATGCAGATGAGGAAAACCAATATAATATTACAGAAGTGGAAAGGATAGTCGTTATGACAATTAAAAAGAAAAATTGGTAGACCGGCAGGAGAAAAAGCAGTAGTCAATCACACAGAGAACATGCATGTAGCAGAATATTAAGTAACTTCAAACGTTGGATTGAGCATCCAAAAGGCAGACACTTGCAACAGGTGACACATTACAGATATGTTACTGGATGCTACTGCTATTGGATAAAGATGACCTGAACGCAAAAAGTGAAAGTGTTGTTTGTGTCTAAGCTGTACCTTGAAGAAAAAAAAAAAAAAATACCCTCTGGGATTATTGCTGAGAAATAACTGTGCACTCCCTGGTATGGGAGGGTACCCAAGCATTCCTGTGCCTCCAGCCTCATAGCTGTACTGTATATTCTGCAGTGTAAGATCTAAGGCACTGCTGCCTCTGACTGCTATTGCCAAGAGATTTGGTGATGTCACTACTGTTCTGTTCACTGTTCTGCTTGCTGGTAGCTCTGACAAGAACCAAAGTCTTATCAAGATGGCCACCTCCACACAGGCAGCGAAGAACAAGGCATGGAAAGTCAGTAATGGAGAAAGATCAGCTGCAGGGAGATCAGGTAATAATGATAGGACTGGTAAAAGTAATAAAGAGCAAGAGGATGAGCAGTTTTACACATGAAAGAGACTGAATGATTGAATAACAGTCTAACAAGGTAAAGGATGAAAAGGTGTTGTATAATTTAAATAAATAAACCTTCCAATAACAAACACCCTTTATGTAGTAGTAGTAGTAGTAGTAGTCACATTGAACTGGACTTGCTCTATAATGTTGAAGACCTATCAATACAAAGCCAAGCAGCCTAAATTCTAATGAGCATCATGAACATACCCAATAACCACGCTGGATCATGACACTTATTAGCAGTAATGAGGCTACGTAGATAACTAGAAAAACATTAATTATGTTCAACTGGACTTGTTCTGAAATGTTTAACTACCCATATTATGACCTAGGTAAAGGAGAAGTCTCAAAAGACACCCATTAAGCAGCACTTTGTGAATCGTGCAACTGAGGTTTACTTGCTAGATTTTTGTTCAGTATATGAAGATGTGGCACATTTGTCTGAACTGCAGAGACACTGTTCTCTGCAAGTTCCAGACTGGTAAACTAGTGGAGAAGCAGGGTGCTGACATCACGATCTGCGCCTCATCCAATCAAAGAACTCTTTCCATTCATTGAGAGAATGCAGGCTGTTCTCTAAATGGCACCTGTGCTAAGCGATCAATCCCCTCTATTCACTAAGCAGCACAGCAGACGCTCAGCACAGGACCTAGAAGCTTGCGGCAATAGCAGTATTAGCGGGGCTTGCTACAGGGACTTCCAGAGATGCAGCCGCTGTGTATAACCTGTATGTGGCATCGGCTATATACAGTATACAGAGCGGTGTTTCAGTAGTGGGATGGGGACTTCCTGTCCCTTTACTAGAACAAATTTGAGTCGGGCTGAATGCTGCTCAGCCATTCACATTAAGTTTTGTATTTTCTGAATACAAGGCTTCCTATAATTGGCTGAGGTGGAAACTGTGACATCTCTCTGCCCTAGCCAATCAGAGGAAGCCTTGTATTCATTCATCTGCATGTGTTATTGAAAGAAACTGTTAATTTGAACCAGGCTTGTCCAAACAAACTATTTAACCACTTGAAGACCGGGCAATAGCCATATGATGGCTACAGCGTGGCCGTCCAGTTCTGGGAGGGCGTCATATGACATCCTCCCAGAACTGTGCCTCCAGCGCACCCCCGCAGCACGCTCCGTGATCGCTGTGTCCGGCGGACATTTGTGCAGAATCATCAGCACCCATTAGTGCAGCCTCTCAGCGCCAATCAGTGCAGCCAAAATATTACCTGTTTGCAAAATATTATAATAGAAACTAAGGGGAAAAAACTTTTTTTTTTTTTTTCTTACCTAAAACGCACTGACACTAAAACCAATTTTAAAAAAAAAAACCATCCTGACCCTTGACCCTGACCCAAACACTTATCCTGGCACTGAACTAGATCAAGCCTAGGTATTTATTTATTTTTAATATTTATCTTTTTTTTCTTTACAGTTTTTTTTTCTCTCTGCAAAGAGATAGAGAGATACAATGTATCTCTCGGCTCCATTCAGAAAGAAAAAAAAAACAGAGGGCGGGCTTCACAGTGACTGATCACTGTGATAGCCAATCAGAGGCTATCACAATGATGTGACCTGGAATCAGGAGTCCTGGATACTGATTGTTAGAACGGGACCAGGGGCTCTCAGTGACACCCGGTCTTTGTGCTGGGAGCGCACTGTGCGACATGCTCCCAGCACAAAGACAGGTACGCAAATCTGCAGCCCCACGGGAAAAAAAAAGCCCAGTTCTGTGAGGCCGCATATTTGTGTGATGTCGGGGGGAAGGGGTAAAGGAAGGAAAAAGTTGGGATGGGATACTTGGAATACAATCAATACTGAACAACCAAGAAAATCTATTCTGATAAATTCATTCGCAAGAGGAATTGATCAATAGAATTCAGGGGAGTTCAGAGACCCTCCAGATCCAACGGTTTCTCAATCCAGTCACAAGTGGATGATCATTTTATGTCTGTTGCATCTTTTAATTGGTAATTTAAAGTGGGTCGAAAAACTGGGCAAAACAGATAAATCCCTTTATACAGTGGAGTCTGTGTTGACGTTATTTTAAATCAGACTTTACACTATTTGATGGATATAAATTGTGACATAGAAAAGTATCTGTGCTACCTGTAAAAATTCACTCTCTAATATGTGCTGTTGATGCGCATAAATGGATTCCCTGCAGTTTTAAAAAATTAGTCTAGTTTACTAAAGTAAAATTAGACTCCCTCATGATCACTTGGGTATAGATTGAAAAAGGTAATCCAGAAGACTTACATATTCAGCGTGGGGTGCGGACATTTGGCTAATAAGAATAAGGGATGAGATACAGGAACAAATGGAAAACAGCAGGTGCACAGTCTATTCAGAAAGAAAAAAAATGGACACAAAGATTCTGCAATCTGCTGAGACTGAGATAGAGAAGCATTTTATCCAACACTAACTGGCAGCAAGTCCTGAAAAGCAAATATGGACAATAAAACACTTAGGAGAAACACCTGCTGTTTTGTTCCTGTGTGAGTGAGCTCACCTACTCGCAGAGAAAACTGCCCTCCCTAAATATGCTGCTGACAAAGTAAAATTGCAGAACAATGACACAGACAACACACAATCAAAACTCAGAGTGCACCTGCAGTTCAGGGAAAGTTCCGCAAAAGCAGGATATTTAGGATAAAATTATGTCAGGTTTAAAAAATAAATGTCATGTTTATGTACTTTTCTAGAATTTCCCAACCAGAGCCACTGACAGGAGCTGATCCAAAGGATGAACGCGCACTCAAAAATCACAAGCACCATACAACCAACATTTGTAGTGGATTCTTGACCTTCACACCCATTTCAACTTGGGACATCCTAATCAAAAGTTGTGAGCATTAATATGGTGCTGCACCTCCCTTTTCTGGACAACTACACTCTTATTGAATGGCTTTCCCCAGATTTGAGTGGTGTCTGTGGGAATTGGTACCCATTCAGCCAAAACGGTTACTGCAAGGTCAGGTACTGATGTTGGAACAGTAGACCTGGCTCACTATCTACATTCCAATTCACCTCAATGTGTCCAGTAGGGTTGAGGTCAGGGGTCAGTCCAGTGTTCCTCATGTTCCTCCACAGCAAACTCAAACCATGGGAGAGATATACTAAAATTGGAGCACTCAGAATCCGGTGCAGCTGTGCATGGTAGCCAATCAGCTCCTAACTTCAGTTTGTTCAATTAAGCTTTGGCAATAAATGCTGGAAGCGGACTGGTTTCTCTGCAGAGCTGCACCAGATTTTGCACTCTCCAGGTTTAGGCTTGGTTGCGGGTGAAGGAATCGCACCTGTTTCCGCAACCACTTGAAGCTGAATCGTTCTGAATGGCACTCCCTTCGGATCTCACCCCACAGCATGATCGCAGGTGTGGGAACTGAAGGGAAACCGCATGGTGAAAAATACAATGCGGTTTCCTTGCGAACGAGTTTTTGAAAAAGGTATATGCACCTTTTTCTTACATGAAACACGGGCACAGCAGTCTATTCAAACGAATAGGCTGCCATGCCTGTGCAAACACGGGCCGTGTTCACACTAGTGTGAATCTGGCCTTAGTAAATAACCCCTCATGTCTTTAAAAAGCTGGCTTTGTGTATGGACACAGTCATGCCAGAATAGAAAAGACACTTTCCCAAATTATTACCATGAAGCTGGAAGAGAACAATCATCTAAAATATCTTTGTTTGCTTCAATGGAAAAACATTCAATAATTTGGAGAAGTGTTCACTAAACTCTGGCCATATAGAACAAGTGTTTATATCCACTTAATGGAGGGGAGAGGGAAGAAAAAATAGCAGCAACTGGATAAAATATACCAACTCAGACAAAGGATCATAATAAAAAAGTCAGCCTACAGGTATCACGTGGCCCCCACATGGATTTTTCTAGGTACCTTAACTGCTTCCCGAGCGCCCTATAGCAGAAATACTTCTACAGGGCGGCACGGGTGCGCAAAATCACGTATATATACACGTGATTTGGCATTTCTGGGTAGGGGTCCTGGCCGGTGATTACTCGCCGGCGCGCGGTGATTGGCGAGGATCACTGACGGGGAGAACTGCACAGCACAGCCATACAAAGCAGTGTGCTTACAGTAAAGCACAAACACACGGCCCCATAGTAAAACACTCCCTGCATCACCCCTCATATTAACCCCTTCCTACCCAGCGCCATTAGTACAGTGTCAGTGTTTGTTTGTTTTTTTTTTAGCACTGATCACTGTATTGGTGTCACTGGGGGTGTCAGGGAGTCACTTCCCCGCAGTCCCGCTATAAGTTGCTGATCACCGTCATTACTAAAAAATTAAAAAAGTATATATACCACCATTTGTAAACACTAGAACTTTCACGTAAACCAATTAATTTACACGTATTGGGATTTTTTTTTTTAGCAAAGACATGGAGCAGAATACATTTTGGCCTAAAATTGACAAAAAAATTTTTTTTTTTCACTGGACATTTTTAATAGCAAAAAGTAAAAAAACATTGTTTTTTTCTCAAAATAGTCTTTTTTTTTTTTTTTTTTTTTTTAGTGCAAAAAATAAAAACCGGCGATCAAATATCACCGAAAGAAAGCTCAATTCTGGGGATATAAAGGACGTTGCATGACCATACAAGTTTCAGTTAAAGTAAAGCAGCGCCGTAATGCAAAAAATGGCCTGGTCAGGAAGGGGGGTAAATCCTCAGGAGGGCAAGTAGTTAATAGAGTACCTGCAAAGTGGGACATTAGACTGCTTACTAAAACTAGTGCCTAGTTCTTAGTTCACTGATTATATTCTCTGAAATATCTGTAGATTTTAGAGAATGTTTCCTCCACTGTATGTGTGCATCAGATGTACTTAACTCTCTATCTTGATGAATATGCACCACATAACGTGCTGCTATGCACACAACCTGCGCAGTTTAATACAGTATAAATGACAAATCTGTGAACCCACATCCTTAGGCCTAAAGGATTGTGATTCTGTACCTGGGAACTAGTAACACTGGTTCTAACCAATGATCAGAATGGATGGAAAGTAATGAAATAACAGGACATGGTTAGTAAACAATGCATTGCACGGTCATACAAGCCAACTATGCCTTCTCACTACTCCAAGGGCATAAACATAATGAAATTATGGGGAAATTAATAAACACCGGTCCGGCTGAGAAGACTACCAGAAAAAAAAATGTACAAGGGGTAGTTTGCATCAAATGTTCAAACTAAGAGACTGCAATTCTTTTTTGCAAATTCCTCCATCTAGTGGTCAGAAATAGCTACTCCTCTAACATAACATTTCTGACCAAGGAGCATATTTACACAAAATGCATCTATGCCCAAAACTTGTCTTTGTTAGTTTTGAATAGAATGGGGAAAGGCTACAACCCCTGTCAGATTTACTGCTATTCTCACTTTCAGTTCTGAGAAAACCTTTTACTAGACTGCATGTTAAGGATAACAGCTGTAGAGAAACAGACAATAAAAGGTGGAGAGCATTTCCCTACCTAAAAAAGAACCAAAATTCTGCTGCTGTTCGCTGAGAGCAGGCAGGTTTTTATTGCAGCAGACATGCAATATCTCTTCTGCAATAAAATACACTCACCTGCCTGTTCGCAGTATCCCATGTGTACAGAGCTGTGTTCGCGCAGCTTAGCTTACAGCAGCCAGCCCAATCTGTGTGTTCTGGAATGACTGCCTCCTGTGCATGCGCCATCCCATGCGAGCCAATGAAGATGGCCGAAAACCAGAACACAGAAGATGATGCTGTCGCCAGATGGGGACCGCTGGAGAAAAGGAAAGTATAAGCTGCCTTTGGTTCCACTTTAAAGTGGACCTTTACTCTAACTATGAAGTTGTCCTACTCGGTTTCATCCCACTTTCATCTCATTGCAGAACCAATAAAGAACTTAGAAAATAAAGAATGTCAGTTGCTAAGCATGAGCACTCTCTCATCTAGGCAAGACTTTGTCACCGCCCATGGCGCATGAGCAGATGTCCCATAGAGCCCGGCTCCTGAGAAAGACCTGCGGCATATCTGTACATGCGTCAGGACACCAATTTCTGCATAGTCATGGGTTTTGCCATGTACGGGCAAAGACTGCTAATAGAGAAAGTAAAAACCTTTCCTGTCTTCTTGTATTTGCAGCATTTCCATGGCACGTGCACAGATGCGCTGATAGGTTCTAGCAGGACCCGAAGGCTGGGTGGAGCCCATGGGCAATCTACACATGCGCCATAATGTGGCGGCACCTTTAATTCCTGCGCTGCAAACAACCTTTTTACCAGACAGGAAGTGAAGGAATTGCTCCAGAAAAAAAAGGAAAAAAAAAAAAAAAAAACGTAGAGGACTGCTAATCTATCCCCATAGATCCAAAACTAAAAAGGTTTGGCTATAGATACAATTTTAAATCTTTGAGCAAATTTATGAAAATGTGCTGGCTGCACTCATTCATCATACTTATAAACACAACAAATACACACTCCATGTGTCAGCCATGACTACATCTGCTGGCAAACCCTTTAGCATTAGGAAGGTGATCTGACAGGGGTCTACAACAATGTGGTATGACGCACCAGTTCCCAGCCCTGTTATGCATACCCCAATGTCAATGGTACGGGAAGCAGGTAAATTGGGCAGCCCTTACCTTGTAAACAGCTAAAGGAGTACCTCAGACCAACTGACAGTTGTTTACGTGTGGAGGTATGAGAGAGTTAAAGTGGTTGTAAAGACTTAAGGTTTTTTTTACCTTCATACATTCCCTCCCCTTCCCAGTCCCCCTAATACTTACCCCATTGAGCCCCATTGCGATCCAACAATGTACACGTGAGCCTCGGCTGTCCTGGGACTCTCCCTCCTCACTGGCTGAGACAGCAGTGGGAGCCACTGGCTCCTGCCACTGTCAATCACAGTCAGTGAGCAAATGAGGAGAGAGCAGGGGGTGGGGCTGAGCGTCAGCTGTGTTGAATGGACACAGAACAGCAGCTCAGGAGCTAGTCTGCTTGGGTGCCCCCATAGCAAGCTGCATGCTGTGTGGACACTTGGCAGGAGGGATGAGTCAGGAGTGCCAGCAAGGGACCCAAGGAGGATCGGGGCTGCTCTGTGCAAAACCATTAAACAGAGCAGGTAAGTATGACATGTTTGTTATTTAAAAAAAGCAATCTGCCTTTTCTATCACTTTAAAGCGGAGTTCCACCTGAAAAAAAAAATAAAAATCAGCAGCTACAAAAACTATAGCTTCTGACTTTTAAAATACAGAGACTTATCTGTCCCTCGGTCCAGCGATATCCTCACCACGGCTGGTTTCACCGGCTGTCTTCTCTCCCTGGCGCCGGCATCTTCAGAGTGGGCACCTGGGTGAGACAGCCTGCGGCTTTCACAGCCGGGTGCCCACTGCGCATGCGTGAGAAGTGCTGCGCTTTGGGAATGGCCCCGTAGTCTTCTGGGACCCGTCACATGTCCCAGAAGACTACGGGGAGTTGGGGGGGGGGGGGGGGGTTGGAGGACAACTTCCGCTTCCGAATGCCTATGCGATCGCAGCAGAAAGTGAGAGCGGGTACCTGTCAAATACAGGTACCCGCTCCCCAAAGGTGCCAATCCTTAATGGGGAGCGGGGGATAAAGACCTAAAGCGAAACTTCCCTTTTTAGGTGGAGTTCCACTTTAAATGAAACTCCCACTAAGTAGAGGGCACCTTTCAGTGCATAAAATTAATTTACCTTCTCTACTCCTGCACATTGCCCTGTAGCAACCCCAGAGTGATCCCAGCAATGCCAAGTATGAGGCACATATACATACTTCGCCTGTTGGGTTGGCTAATGCATAACATTTTGCAGCATCAGCAGTGCAGACAACAGCGGAAGGCAGGAGTGGATAGTTCAGGTCTAATATTTATTACAGGCTCATAATACAAAAATAAAACACACACTTGGTTAAAAGTATTTATGTCCCATGCTGGAACCTTATTCTCCGGGATCTAAAAACAGAACATCAGTTTTAATGGCAAAAGGGAACTTTGAGGTGTGACGCTGACAGCAATATATCTGGTACAAATGCAGTGCAGGATGTGATTGTGTCCCTGGGTTCTCGGTGTCCTCACTGACTGTAACACCACATTTGGTACAAGCAGTATACAATGAAGGGTGTGAGTGGAAAATGTTTTAGCACTGATGGATGCTGGAATCATACTGCTCTTCATAGGTGAAATTGTGCCTGCCATAGCAGGAGGAATTTGTCATGTGAACAGGGTAAAAAGGTGTTCTAACAAGAATATGGCTATCTCTATAAAAAATATTTAATACATGTGTCAGCTGATCAGCTCAAAGAGTTGCAAACATATTAACTTAACAAGTGTTTAGATGTATTCCATTCTAAAATTGTATTTAGGATTGGATTGACATCAACATACCTTACAAAGCCTTCTACCGGTGTGATAAGCCATAGATAGATGCAGATAGCCTCTCATTCCCAGGCTGCATGCAGCTATTTGGCTACACTGTAAGTGACCAAAATGCCCTACCCAGTATGCTGGCTATGTTTCCACAGATGGTCAGCTGCCCTGCAATGTTTTCACATATGTATTTCACTTTATGACACATTCTTTATCCTTCCTTATCCTTTAGCACACTGTAAGTAAGAATGTTAGTAAAACGAGACCAGCACAATCACGCACATTCAATCAGGCCCCACTGCTGCTGCAGAAAAGTACACAATGGTGGGACGAAGCAACAGAAAAAGAGCAAGAGGAAAGTGAAGCTGATAGCACAGGGGTGTGCAGGATACCTCTCTTCCTCGTCCCTGGATGCACCGTGCTGTTCAAGTACGTCACCGCACTCTTCTTACGCTGCAAGTAAATAAAGAAAAAATGGTTTATTGGAATTGTTATCACATTGACTGTCGGAGAGCTGACTACTGGCAGAAGGGTTTGGTGTCTAAAATAACCTCTTAATTCTAATTAGGTGTACATAACTTATTTGTGCTCAAAGACCAGACACCTGAAAACATTGTTTTTGAATGCCTTGGCTTAAACTGACCTTGCCAGTATGTTTGATAATCCACTATTAGACAAATACAGTGAGGCCTCAATTTGTACCAGCACCATCTTGTCCCTCTACAGTACAATAAGAGAGCCTTCATTATCAACTGAGTTCCTGGCTTTGATTAGTAATAGGAACAGGACTTTAAGCTGGCAAAGTTAGAAATCTTAAAAGAATGGCTAGAATCCAAAGGTTTCTCAGGGACATAGAAATAAACAAGTGGATTATCAAAGGGTTTTGCAGGCACAACAGGGTGCATTGTGCTGTACTCATTGATATACCGGACAGGTTCACTTTTGAGATTGCTGAACGTCAGTGAGAGCCATCCTCTGCACAGGGCCTGTCCCCTCTATTGTATCATCCAAGTGTCTGCACACAGAAATAGAGGATACAGGTACATGAAAAGTGAGCTACTTTTGTTGTTTGTGCTTAGCTATGATATACTCGCGTCAACTCACTAGTAGTTATCACATGCAAGATCTGGAGTAAATATCATGAATTTTGTAATTATGGGCAGTACATACAACAAAAAATGAAGATAAATAATTAGGTCAATTAACATACAAAACAAAAAAAAAAAAAAAAAAAAAAAAAACACATTTGTGATTTATCTCATGGTACAGGCCATCAATATTTTTGGAATGCACAAAGTAACAGAGAGGTGAACTGGTCAGTAAGTTAAAAGCACAAGAATGGACAGCATGCTCCTATGCGATTGTTTTTTTTTCACATGTAATCCAGATGCAGTGCAATTTCAGCCCACTCATTTAATTAGGAGGACCAGATCACACCAAAAGTAGTACATGCACTACTTTAAAAAGTGCACAGCAACTAGATCGCATGGTACTACTGTACCAATGTGATCCAGTGCATGCAAACACAGTGCGTTTTTTACCTGCATCTGGGGTGATGGTAACACTGACAGCCACTGCAGATCACATATGCAAAGTGCTTTGAACGTGGTGAGGGAAATGCGCATGGAACGTGGGTTTCCTGCACCATATTCTGGTGTGAACTGACATTTAGATCAGGAATGTAAATAAACTAAAGTCTGTGCACTGTGCCCAGCTGCAGGTTTTCTTTCCGCTCTTCCTCTTCTCAAAAGCTACACTGACAACAGCTGGAGCCATCAGCTACTACAAGATAAATATCTGTCGCACTAAGAAGAAAAAATACAGGTGTATACTGTGAAGGCTGGTATATTAACCACACAACTAAAGACCTTAAAATCCAAAGGTGGTTAAGAGGTAATCCAACAATGCTTGACTCAGTGGCAGCCAATTCAAAAAGGGCTAGAAGAGACTCTGTGTGAACCATAAAAGAGAGAGGAGCAGCACCATTTAAGTACAGCAATATAAGCATATAATTACACAAAACTGGCAACTCAAAATAAAAGTAGTCAAATGAGCGCTTGTCAAACTGGTGTCAACCACTGGCTGGTCCCACTGCAGGCAAGTCTCCAAAGTGCTGTCCTTGGTTGTGCTGGTGGTTCCCAGTAGTTTGAAACCAAAAGGTTTTTGGAATAGGATGGATAGGGCAGAAACTTGTCCTTTTAGTGTACTAACAAATGGATGCTGACCTAGGCCAAACTAAAGGAAAAGGCCAGGATGCACCTGTCATTACCACCAACCAGTGAGAAGGAACAATTTCCCGAATTCAAGGGCCAAGTTGTAAATCCACTAAGACAGGAAAGAGTTTTTGCCTGGCTGGATAGTAGTAGTGGATGATCCAGAGAAGGAATCTACTTGTCTCACACTGTGAAAATGTTGGGTCTCAAGTGGAACAGGGCAAAGGGGAAGACCTTGAAGGGGGCTACCATGAGGCTTCGAACCATCATGCAAAACCGAGTTGTGGAACGGCTGGATGACCTGAGATCCCTTAACCACCATTTGGATTGGGAAGCAATCTTTTCCTGTAGAAGGAAAATATTTGCCAGGGTCATGTCTAAGATTAGCTCCAAATACTACAATACAGACCATGGGAAGGCTGGAGGGAAATTACAATGGCATCAGACACTGCACAGCTAGCACGGCTAGATTTGTCAGCAAGTAGACAAATGCAAATCTATGAGCATCTAGGAGCAAATTGGATCGTGCTTTGCTGGTTTTTTTTGCCTTCCTCTGGATCAACTGTGGGTATAGGAATATAACTTTTTTTTTTTTCTATGGTTGAACTGGATGGACTTTTGTCTTTTTTCAGCCGGACTAACTATGTAACTATGTTGTAACAAGAATTAATCTGAAAGAAAAAGATAACTAACCATGTCCCACTAAAAAAACAAAAAACAAAACTGGCTTCACTATTGTCTTCACAGACGTGTTGAACCTGCTGGAGAAATTCACATTATTTCCTGACCCAGTAACCGAGCAAAAAGCAACAGGAATTTTCCATAGAACGGTCAGAGATATCAATAAGAACCTGACAGAAGTTCCAATCTTCTTCTCATACAAAGCAAATGTTGTACTAAAAAATGGTTGAAGTATCACTTTAAAGAGCCCAACCTGACCCACTATAAAAAAACAAGCACCATAGATAGAGGAAATCCCTTTCCCTCCTATGGTCCAAAAACAGAGTGGAAGACATTAGGGCGATGGAGAGTCTTCAAATTTGCTGAAAAATACCCATGACAAATTTACTGCCACATGTACAGATGACTTGAAACGCCTACTTTCTGGCTGATTGTAAGGTCCTTCTAATTAGTTACTGTAGTGGCTTGCTGTCCCCACCAGGCTTGCTGTACTGTCTGGCACACCTTGTTCACCCTCCTTCTGCCTTCCCTAACTGTCTTTTTCCCAATCTATGCCTAATCCTCTCATTGCTTGGCTTGCTCACCCTCTCTGGCTACACCCACTCTTGAAATTTCTATCCCCTGTGTCTGCGTATGTAAAGACTTTCATAACCCATCTATAGCATATAGGAACCCTCACATGGAATCAATCCCAGATCTTGCAGTAATAATGTAGTTTGTGATCCATTGGCTTTACATTCCACATAGTGGTATCCAGCTACATGCTCTACCGGCTGTAGACCATTTCCTCCTATCACTGTTCTACCTACCCTGGATGAGGCTATAAGCCATTCATCCGCTCCGAATGTTGATCATCATCTGCAATGATCATTTTGGTTCTCATGTCCCGAATTATGAATATCATGTTGATAAGTAGTGTATATTTGTACTATATATAATAAAGAATCCATAAAAAGAAAGAAAGAAAAAAAAAAGCAAAAAAAAAAAAAAAACTAACAAGAGAAGCATGCCAACGTTTTTTATGAGCTAGTTCACACATACTGAGGTGACCTCCATTTTTTCCTCCCTGGATCAAAGCACGCCAGTGCTAGGGCACATAGAACACTACAATGTTCCTTACTTACACCACAGCACTGGTGTGATGTGTGGCACAGTGTGGAAAAATGCAGACAAGCTACACAGCACTGGATGGCACCCACAGGTCACCTCACTGCTGTGTGGAGACCTGAAAAGATGGTACACACTTTCAATAAAGTTAAAAAGGAAAACAAAGTACAGCAAATAGTGCTTTAAAAATTGTAAAATATAAGGCACTGCTCTTCACATCACCGCTTCTACACAGCATATACCAGCCCCACGCTAAATTAACAAACAAAAAAAATAATTTTCGTGTGCGGCTGGTGCAAACGTACCTTAAAATTTAAGGAATCATGTATAAAAGTAAAAAAACAAAACAAAAAAAAACCCCACACATGCAACATAGTTCAGACTTGTGTGCATGTACTCACAAGAACACATTGGAACTATGTTTAGAGATGTTCTAATGTAGTCAGATGCATCGAAGGCGGTGCATTCAAGCAGAACTAAGCCCAACAAATTAACAGTTTCCCAAAACAGTTGCATTCAAGGCATGCCATGAATGAGAACTTTCACAGCCAACTGTTCTCTCAATCAAACTGTCAATCCAACACATGGCTGGTGTCACATGTGCAGCACCATAGCAAATGCTGATCAAACACAGGCTAAGATGGCGGCTTCCACACATAAAGTTAAGGGGGGTTTAGTTCTGCTTTTACTGCATAGAAATTACACTATCCATGTCCAACATTCCTTCTTTAACAGCTGAGAACCAAGGAAGAGTTACAAGTTGAGAGAAAATACATTTGTAACCGTTTGCAATGTTGAATACACTGCACAAACTTTGTTCTCTAGAATCGTGACAAAAGATGAATTGCATCCACACAAACAGGAAAACACTCACCTCGGGTTCAAATACTGCCCCACTGTACACTGGGTTGGCGGTTGTTCTTCTTTTCCTTTCTTGTCTTTTACTTTGAATTTCTAATGGTCAAGGGGGGGGAAAAAAAAAATGACATTTGGAAAAATATTATCACAAGTCATGATGTAGTGCAGTTATAGGAAATAATTATCATAAAATGAGGTAGTGTACAAAGTATACCAAAAACTGAAAGAAATGTGAAATTATGTAGAACACATCACCCTCTGCTTTCTCATGTGTCTTAGGGATTCTGCTGGTGAGGTCTGTGCATTGGTTCTCAGATTTGCACACACGGCAGCATTAAGTGAAGGCCCTGGTCTACCTGTCCACTGGTACCTCTAGGTGGGTGGGAATAGAGCTACGGTTCAGGCATAAAGCTTCCTCCATAGGGACAATTTAGAAGAAAAGATCTCTCTCTCTCTCTCATCAAAAGAAAATAAGGTTTTTTTGGAATTCCTATAATACAATTTGCTCCTGCACTTGCTCAGATGCATGTCATGACAAACTCTTTCAAGCAGGATTCTGACATGTTTCGTACAGATAAAAATCTTTTTGCTACTCGGCGCTGCACTAATTCAACTGATAACTGCATGGTCATGCAACGCTGCACCCAAACTAAATTTACGTCCTTTTTTCACACAAATAGAGCTTTCTTTCGGTGGTATTTGATCACCTGTGCGCTTTTTATTTTTCACGCTATAAACAAAAAAAAAGGCCAAAAATTTTGAAGAAAAACAATATTTTTTACTTTCAGCTATAAAAAATATATAGTAAACTCAAAGTTGGTTATATATATATTTAGGCCAAAATGTATTCTGCTACATGTTTTTGGTAAAAAAAAAAAAAAAATCCCAATAAGTGTATATTGATTGCTTTGTGTGACAGTTATAGCGTCTACAAACTATGGTATAGATACTGCAATTTACGCCATTTTTTTGCTATACAGCGCTGCGCTAGTTTAACGGACAATTGCGCGGTCATGCGTTACGGTAAATAAATGAAATTTACATCATTTTTTTCCCACAAATTGAGCTTTCTTTCGGTGGTATTTGATCGCCTGTGCGGTTTTTATTTTTTGCGCTATAAAAAAAGCCAACAATTTTGAGGAAAAAAAACTATATTTTGGACTTTTTGCTATAAAACATGCCCAGTAAAAAAAAATTTAAAAATCAAATTTAGTCATAAATTTCTGCCAAAATGTATTCTGCGACATGTCTTTGCTAAAAAAAAAAATCCCAATACGTGTAAATTAATTGGTTTATGTGAAAGTTATAGCGTTTACAAATGGCGGGAAAGATACTGGGATTTTTAGGTTTTTTTTTATACTAATAATGGCGGTGATCAGTGACTTATGGCGGCGATCAGCGACTTATGGCGGGACTGCGGCAGACATTCTGACATTGGGGGGTACTGACTTGGGGTCACTGACATCCCCAGTGACACCAATACAGTGATCAGTGCAAAAAAAAAAAACACTGACACTGTACTAATGGCACAGGGGAGGAAGGGGTTAAGTTTATTATTCAGGGAAAGGGTTAACTGTGTGAGGGGAGTGTTTTACTAGGGGCGGGGGTGTGTACTGCAGGGAACACCGCGCTGATCAGGAGAGAGAAACTCTTCTGTCCCGATCAGCGTGTCCTGGAGCTGTCAGGGAACTGACAGAAAGCACAGCTACTGCAGCTGTGCTCTCTGTCAGTGATTGCCGCCGATCGCCGGGACATAGCCGGTAACGACCGGCTGTGACCCGGCGACTGACATCCGCAGCTGTGATCGGCGGGACAGGTAGGGCGGCGGCGCGCCCCCTACCTGTTTACAAAACACGCTTTTGCCCAGCTGTGCCGCCCTGCCGCCGTATTTATACAGTGGCTGGGCGGCATGTGGTTAATGTTGCTGTAGTCCTCTTGGCAGCCTCCAGGACCAGTTTTTCTTCTCGTCTTCATCAATTTTGGAGGGATGTCCAGTTCTTGGTGATGTTACTGTTGCGTCATAATTTTTCCACATGATGAGGACTGTGTTCACTGTGTTCCATGGTATATCTAATTTCTTGGAAATTTTTTGTACCCTTCTCCTGACTGATACCTTTTAACAATGAGATCCATCTGATGCTTTGGAAGCTCTCTGTGGACCATGGCTTTTACTGTAGGATACGACTAAGAAAATGTCAGGAAAGACCTACTGAACTTTATTTGGGAGTTAATCAGAGGCACTTTAAAATGATGGGAGGTGTGTACTGACTTCTATTTAATATGATTTTTAATGTGATTGCTTAATTCTGAACACAGCTACATCCTCAGTTATAAGAGGGTGTGCACTCTTATGCAACCGCATTATTTTAATGTTTACTTCTCCCTCTAAAAGATTTCAATTTGTTTTTCAATTGAGTTTCACATTAGGTCACATTAAAGGTGGAAACAGTTTTGAAATTATTTAATCTTTTTCCAATTTGATTAATTCACTGAAATCTGACATTTTAACAGGGGTGTGTAGACTTTTTATATCCACTGTAGATAAAGGACATCGGTAGATAAAAACAAACCGTGCGCCTCTGATTAAAGTTGAATGCCCGTGCTATAGGTGTAGGCCATTTATATACCTCATGAAGCCTGACTAGAACACTCCCAGGACATTTGCCAAGAGAGGCCTAGCTGTTACGGTTCACCATCACAGGAATAAGGTCTCAGACTCTGAGCTCAGGGCGACCGCATCAGAGGAGAGAAAGCTCATGGGAGGGGGTTTGAATCAGAGAAAGAGCGCACTCCTGTGATGGTGAAGGGGAGTAGTTATGAGTAGACCTGCTACAGACGATTTTTAGTAGTTTGTTCTTAAAATGCTCTATTTTAACAGTAGTTGCTATAAATTTGTTTAAAACGGTCAATGCAATATGCCAACCTGAAGGTGTTCTGTGCACCCCCCCTTCCTCCCTAAAGCTTGCCTGCTAAAGGGATGCAGACCCCAGTTTCCCCATTAGACCCACATTAGACCACACAGAAGTATACTTAAAGTGGCAAGCCACTCAAAAGCGGAAGCTCCGCTTATTTGCCTCCTCCCCCATTCCACTGCCATATTTGGCACCTTTGGGGGGGGGAGATACCTGAACTGAGCCGGAAGTTCTGTCCCCCTCCTTCCACCTGCAGTCTCCCGGGAATGTTCACAGGTCCCAGAAGACTGCCGGACCAATCAGAATGCGCAGTGCGACTCGTGCATGCACAGTGGCACCCGGCTGTGAAGTACCCTTGGGGTACACCACTGACAACCCTAGACCATTCAGAGTATGAAGCATTAACCACTACTCTTTGAATACGATCTTTTAGCCAGTTTTCTATCCATTTACATACGGATTTTTCCAAGCCCGTAGACTTTACACCTTAGCCGTGTGGTGGGAACGCTTTTGCAAAATCCAAGTATACCACGTCCACAGCCACCCCTCTGTCCAAGGTTTTGATTGCCTCCTCATAAAAAGAAAAAAATCAGATTTGTTTGACAACTTCTGTCTTTCATGAATCCTTGCTGTCTGTTGCTTAAAATATTTTTTCCAGCAAGAACTCATCTATGTGGTCTTTTATTAAACTCTCCAGTATCTTCCCAACTATAGAAGCTAAATTAACAGGTCTATAAATTACTTGGTAAAGATTTTAACCCCTTTTTAAATATTGGCACCACATTGGCCTTACGCCAATCCAGTGGTATTATGCCAGTCATTAAAGAGTCCCTAAAAATTAGAAACAATGGCTTTGAAATGACAGAGCTCAATTCTTTAAGGACCCGTGGGTGTATGCCATCTGGTCCAGGTGCTTTATTCACCTTTATTCTTTCTAAATATTTTTGGATCATATCAATTGTGAGGATCATCTGGAGCTGTGTCAGTGCCGTGCCCATTATGGACAAGAGCTCTCCCATGCTCCTCTGTATACACAGAGCTGAAGAAGGTATTTAATAAATTTGCCTTCTCTTTGTCCCCAGTCACCCACTTTAGATTATTTTGTAAAGGGCCTACATGCTCGTACCGGACCTTTTTAATATTATACTATATATTTGAAGAATTTTTGGGGGTTGGTCTTGCTATCTTTTGCAATCTGTCGTTCGTTTTCAATTTTTGCGCCCTTTATTTCCTTTTTGCATATTCTGTTATATTCTTTGTAGTGTTTAAACAATGATAGTGTTCCTTCTTTTTTATATTCAATAAAAGCTCTTTTCTTTTTCTATAGCTTTTTTTTTAACTTTGGCAGTAAGCCACATAGGTTTTTTAGCCTTTTAAACTTGTTGCCCATGGGAATATATTTTGCAGTGTGTGTTCACATACAGTCTTTTTGAAAAACTCCCATTTCTGTGTTGTGTTCATCAATGCCAATATTCCCTCCCAGTCGAAGTCTTGGACAGCAGCTCTCAGCCTTGGAAAATTAGCTCTCTTAAAACGGAGTGTTTTTATTTTTCCCGTAGGTGCTTGCTGTTTACAGCAAACAATAAATGAAATCATGTTATGGTCACTGCTACCCAGATGTTCTTTTATATGGACATTCGTAATAAGCTCTGCGAGATTACAAGTTGGCACATAGAATAATTGCACTTGTTGGACTTACCCTCTAAGTGGTCATGTGTAAGCAAACCTAGTGCCATCATGAAGGCGAGTTTCTAACAAAATGGGAAAAGAGAATAAATGTCACCATAGAGTTGGAAACATCATTGAACTTGACTTGAAACTTTCATTGTGACCCTACCTGTGGATTCTCCTCTCGTTTTGGCTTGGAGGCAGGTGGCACTGTCGTACTGCTTTCAGTTGGCTTCTCTGGTTCCACCTGAGTTTTAGTCATCTGGAAGAAAAGCAAAGACATGAGCATTTGATCAAACACAAGGTATTTATTTAAAAGTAATCAGACTAAAGGTCAACAGAAAACAAAACAGGGGCAGTCACTTCTAATTAACATCCTTCCTTAATTGAAAAGAGGGCCTAGGTTCAGTCCAGGAGTATATATAGGAGAGAGCACTCACAGTTCAGTTAGCTCTGAGGAAGAAGGGACCCCCTTCGAAACGCGTCAGCTGTACTGAACACCTACTCCCCTGATGGGACTCATGTTAGCTTCAAGTCCCTGTGAGGACTTACATGCCTGATTTTATTCGCTGTTTGTGAGTATATTTTTTACAATTAATAAATTTTGGTTACTGAGGTAATGCGCAAGGTTGGTGCGCTTCTCGTTTTCATTTCATTCTGCAGTCTTAATTGAAAAGAAACCAGTCATATTCTAGTGATAATCACCACGTTGTTACTCCTATTCTGTAAACTAACCTTGCACATATACGACAAAAGGCATCACTCTCATTGGGATCCCGTAAGGAAGCTGAGAAACCGGTGCTCAAGTTGGCGGTGTCGCCACTGGCACTCAGTATGAAGATTGTCATACGACTAAGGCCTCATGGCCAAAAGCGTAAGCGTATTCATGTTGCATTCATACCCGTAGCCAATAAATATTTCTGCAATGATACCGAGTTGCAGATTGTTTATCTCTTTGAGCCTTTGCTAAATTCAAGTAACACTGCAAAGCTAAGGGTACAGAATAGATAGCTATGCTTTATATTGCTGATATTTATTACTATAGATTTAGCCAGTATGTCTAAAGCAAGCACTGCTCTGTCCAGTGCCGGGAGAATGGTCCCCTGCTACAGGCCAGCAATTGTACTTCCCACAAGCCATATGATATATAGGCAAAGTAACAGATTAGGCATGCCATATTTTTCCTTTAGTTTTCAAAGGTTCCATAAATACGAATGGGATGAACCCATACTGCAGAAGCAAATTTCATTTAAGTCTGCAGAATGTTCATGGACAAATGCAAAGACCACTAGACTTTTTGCCGGTCAGGATGTAAAACAATGCGGGAGGCTGCCGCCACTGGAGGAGGCGCAAGGATGGTTCAGTTTACTGTACTGAGAGGGTAGGCTAGAGGAATTTTTTAATAATTAATGAATAATATAAGAAAAAGCAAGGGTCACTCTATACAAATTTTTTCTAGGTTTGGATAAAGCAGAAAAGAGTGAAACTTTATGTTCAGTTATTTTTTCTTTCTGGCATCTGACTGAGCAGTTTTCCTATTACTTCCTGTCTATGCCACCCATAGCAGAAATGGGGCATAATGGTTTCACCAGGAGCGGGAGACACAAACAGCAATAAAGAAAAAAAAAATATACTACTAAAAATCAGCTTTTTTTTTCACCCCAGTTTGAAAAATTTCCCCCACTTCCTATTTTGACAGACAATAAATACAGCAATAAAAAACCTGATTGAAGTTATAACTCATCCTCTATCCAAAAAGAAATAAAAGTATGGGCTGTATCTAGGCTTTATATAACTTCTGAATAGATGGCCATGGACTTTTACCTGCTTCTCCACATTTAGTTTTGGAAGTTGCAGAGTCTGCGGAGCTGCCAGTCTCGTGCCTGGTGCTGCTATGACGATACTGGTGAGCTGTGCTGTGGGGAAGGCTTTGGAAATGGCTGTGGGTTGCCCATTTACAATGCGCACAGGATGAATGGAGTTCTGGGAAGTGGGGGTTAGCTTTGTGGTTAGCATGACTGGCCGTTGGATGAGCTGTGGAGCTGCAAGCATGGGGGGAGGAGCAGGGGCAATGGGAATGTTGTTTTGTGCTGCTGGCTTTGGCCGCACCTGTAATCAAAACATTAAAAACATTACTGAATAGATAAGAAACAAATAGCCTTTATTGCTTTGATGAGCCAAATAGGCTTTTTAAAATTTAGTGCACTAAATTGTCTAAGTAACTTTATTAATCCAACTACACACACAAATAAATTTCTCACACAAACACCCACAGATTTGTTATAAAACCTTTCCTTTCAGAATCAACATTTTCTATTGGGACACTATACTACAAAATACTCCCACAAATGCGGGCCATTGATTGCAAACAAGATTTCTTTAAAAAAAAAACAAAAAAAACGTATTTTTTCCTAACATTCATTCAAGACCATATTGCAGAAATGAATACACCCCAATGAAAGTCTTAGGAGCAAAGCTACATTTTAGACAACAAAATCCTAATTAACAAGAATTCAACTACAAGCGAGTCTAAATATTCATTTAACAGGTGCCCAGCAGACAGTTGATTATAAAAAGGGTGCTACTTAAAGAAAACCCCTTCCCATTTTATGCTGTCAGCAATGGCACCACATGGAAGAGAAATGTCACAAGGCCTGAGGAAGAAAATTATTTCTTTACACAAGAAAGGTGAAGGCTACAAGAAGATGAGCAAAGCTTTATTTATCAGTCAGAATACTGTAGCAAAAGTGATACAAAAATTTAACAAAGATGGAACAGCAACCATCTCACAGAGACGTCCAGGCTGTCTACGGAAGTTAACAGCTCAACAGGAGCGTCTTCTGAAGAGAAAGGTTGAAGAAAATCACCATGTAAGTTCACTGCAGTTAGCTAAAGTAGAAAGCCAAACTGGGGTGATTGTTTCCCATGACAGAACACGGCGAGCACTGCAGAGGAATGGCATGCAAGGGTGTCGTCCACGAAGGAAGCCTCTACTAAAGCCCATGCACAAAAAAGCCTGCCTAAATTTTGCCAGGGCCCATGCTGAAAAAGAAGAGGACTACTGGGCCTCTGTATTCTGGAGTGATGAGACAAAGATAAAGGTTTTTGGGACTGATGGCTTCAAAACTGTATGCTGTCGCAAAGGTGAGGAGTGCAAAGAAAAATACATGGTGCCCACAGTGAAACATGGTGGTGGCAGTGTCCTCTTGTGGGGTTGCATGAGTGCTGCTGGTGTCGGGGAGCTGCATTTCATTGATGGCATATCATGAATTCACAGATGTACTGCTCATCAACATGACAATGATCCAAAACACACATCTAAGGCCACTGTTGCATTTCTGAAGAACAACAGGGTGAGAATGATTCAGTGGCCAAGTATATCTCCTGATCTGAATCCAATCAAACACCTATGGGGAATTCTGAAGAGAAAATTTGAGCATCACTCTCCATCCAGCATCCAGGTTCTAAAAGAGGTCTTTCTTGAAGAATGGAAAAAGAGAGATGTTGCATTATGTCGCCAGCTTGTTCATTCCATGCCTAGAAGTCTTGGTGCTGTCCTTACAAATCATGGAGATCATACAAAATACTAGATGGAGTAGTTTTTGTTGTGGGGTGTATTCATTTTTGTATCAACTAATTTGAGTAAAACTGAAGATTTTGTAATCTAAGTTATATTATTAACCTTACTCTTATGTAATGAGCTAAAACAAAAATTTCGGAAATTGTTCTTGTTTGCATTGAGATATTGATTCAAATCTTACTTTTCAAAAGGGGTGTACTTATTTATGCTCAGCACAGATCGATCAGAGTTTGTTTTTTTTTTTACTTTACACGCACACTTTTTTTTTTCAAAATCTCACGATACATGCCCCTATTCATTCTGTCCTGTACATGGATCAGTCATTCTGGTCCCTTTGCGGAGAAACAGCCCCAAAGCATGATGTTGCCACCCCCCATGCTTCACAGTAGGTATGGTGTTTCTTGGATGCAACTCCGCATTCTCTCTCCTCCAAACACGATGAGTTGTGTTTCTACCAAACAGTTCTATTTTGGTTTCATCTGACCATATGACATTCTCCCAATCCTCTTCTGGATCATCCAAATGCTCTCTAGCAAACTTCAGACGGGCCCGGGCATGTATTGGCTTAGGCAGGGGGACACGTCTGGCACTGCAGGATCTGAGTCCCTGGCGGCGTAGTGTGTTACTGATGGTAGCCTTTGTTACGTTGGTCCCAGCTCTCTGCAGGTCATTCACTAGGTCCCCCCGTGTGGTCCTGGGATTTTTGCTCACCGTTCTTGTGATCATTTTGACCCCACGGGGTGAGATCTTGCTTGGAGCCCCAGATCGAGGGAGATTATTAGTGGTCTTTTATGTCTTTCATTTTCTAATTATTGCTCCCACAGTTGATTTGTTCACACCAAGCTGCTTGCCTATTGCAGATTCAGTCTTCCCAGCCTGGTGCAGGTCTACAATTTTGTTTCTGGTGTCCTTCGACAGCTCTTTGGTCTTCACCATAGTGGATTTTGGGAGTGTGACTGTTTGAGGTTGTGGACAGGTGTCTTTTATACTGATAACAAGTTCAAACAGGTGCCACTGATACAGGTAATGAGTGCAGGACAGAGGAGCCTCTTAAAGAAGAAGGTACAGGTCTGTGAGAGCCAGAAATCTTGCTTGTTTGTAGGTGACCAAATACTTATTTTCCACCATAATTTGCAAATAAATTCTTTCCAAATCAGCCAATGTGATTGTCTGGATTTTTTTTCTCATTTTGTCTCTCATAGTTGAGGTCTACCTATGATGCCAATTACAGGCCTCTCTCATCTTTTTAAGTGGGAGAACTTGCACAATTGGTGGCTGACCAAATACTTTTTTGCCCCACTGTACTTCAAAAAATGCTTGCTATTAACATTCAAGAGTAAATGGAGCTATCTGAAAAAACAAAAAAAAACAAACAAAAACACATTTCAGGTTTACTCTTTCACTTAAACTGTTTGGACCGTCTTGTGATTTACACAAAAGTGCCAGCACTCTTCTATTGCACTTTTCAATGGCACCTGCCATATCAGGCAATAAATAAGCAGTACTTGGATGCCAGTTTAAAGTCAGATAGGCAGTTGACATAGAAAGTTGCAAAGCTGAAATGGTGAACAGTGGAGTCATTCTTATCATATATATCCGTGGTTGTACAGCATGCATTTATACACATTGGGCAGAACTTGAAAGGTATACTCACTTGTGGAAGAAATGTAGGACGGGGAGTTAGCCGGGGAGGAGGAATGAACTGGGGAACTTTGATAGGCTGAGAAGTTGTTGCCTGGACCTGCTGTAAAAAACAAAAATAAATCAATAAAAAATAGATTATAAAAACAGAGAAGTACTGTTAGACTGAACACTGTAACAAGGAAAAAAATAAATTAATTAATTAATTAAAAACTAACCAACTAAAAAAGTACACAGGCTCATCACTCACCAAAGTAACAGCATTTTTTGCCAGTATCTGGAAAGTCTCTGTTCCCTGATTGGCGATTTTGTTAGTTGTCTGCAGGTTCACTGCAGTGCTTTGGGCATCTGCGCCGATAACTGCTTTCTGGCTGTTGATGGCAGTCAGCATGGCGATGGTTGGCCGTTGCCCCATCACTGTAGTGGGCATAGATGCTGCTGCAGCTTTCAACACAAGAGGTAGAGTCTTTGCCGTGATCATAGAGGCTGTGGCCACAGTCTTCTGACACAAAAATACAAAGATTCAAAATCACAAACTTTTCACTACATCTGGGATGCCATAAATCCATGAAACAGAACTAAGCTAAAATAATAAAAAGGTCACATGTACTTTGTAACTGCGGACAATAGAGACACTTCCCAGCCAGTGAAAGCAAGCCTCCAATCCACACTTCAAATTGTTACTAACTTGAATTCTAACAGATTCTCAAATTACACTAAACCAGGAGGATTGTTTAGGATTCTAATTAGTGGATGTAGAAGTCTTAGCTGCATCACTGCATTCACTCTTGCTGTGCAAAGTCTAAGGGTGTACAATACAGTAATGCTAGTGTAGGACCGGGTTTTCCCATACATAGATGCACTGGTGTTCCATGTTGGTGCAAGTGCACACGGGTCCGTGTCCCCGAATGCACCCACACAGATGTCATATTGACACAGAGGCTGTGAAAATGTATACAGGGAGGACCAGAGCAAAGGGGAACAACATTTCACAGGTATGCTATCGTGATGCCATTTTACTTTAATAACGCATGTCACAGTAAGAAATATTCTATGTCTACACATACATATATATATATATATATATATATATATATATATATATACACACACACACACACACACACACACATACAGTATGTGTATATATATATATATATATATATATACACACACACACACATATACGTACATACACACACTGTGTAAATCCAGTGGAAACAAATCCCAATTAAATCAATTTGAAATGTCAGCCTACAATGCTACAAAGGCTAAAAAGCTCAAAAAGGGAGTGTACCCTTACGTTAGCCACTATACTGGTTATTTTTGTGAAAAAAACAAACACTGAATTGAACTGGCTGCTATTAAAGCGGAGCTCCACTCAAAAGGGGAAGTTCCGCTTTAAAGCATTTGTCCCCCGCTCCCCATTAAGGATTGGCACCTTTAGGGAGTGGGGGGGGGGGGTACCTGAATTTGACAGGTACCCGCTTCCACTGCAATCGCCTAGGCGATCCAAAGCGGAAGTTATCCCCCCCCTCCCCCTAGTATTCTGGGACACGCAACAGATCCCAAAAGACTACGGGGACATTCACAAAGCGCAGTGCTTCTTGCGCAGTGGGCACCCGGCTGTGAAGTTGCAAGCTGTCACAACCGGGTGCCCACACTGAAGATGACGGCGCCAGGGAGAGAGGACGGCCGATGAAAACCAGCCGTGGTGAGGACACCACAGGATCGAGGCACAGGTAAGCGGCTGTATTTTAAAAGTCAGCAGCTGCAGTTTTTGGAGCTGCTGACTTTTGTTAATTTTTTTTCCAGGTGGAACTCAGCTTTAACAATTACTTTTTCTTCCACTATCCTTAGCATGCTGTAAATTTTTGTGGAAAAAGGGATCTTGGAAATTAAAAAAAAAAGAATTCGCAATAACTCTTATTAGCAAGCAAAACGTTAATAATTCAAGTAAAATATGGTATGTAAAAAAAAATAAAATAAGTGAATACAGCGCCAAAAAACCCATAAATTATATTATTGTGTTATATTCAAGCTGCTAGACCTCACCCTCTAACAAAGGTAATAGTATAAATCAGAAAGAGCAAATAATAAGCGCTACCTTTTTTCTGATTTATATAAAAAAAAAAAAGAATTACATTTACAGACAGAGCAGACCACTGGGAACTTCCACAGAACAACCCTACTTTGTGTTAAGAGCCCTGTTTTGGCCTATACGGCGTTGCCACAATATTCTTAATTCATTAGAAGACCTGGATCGTAAAGTGATAGAAAAAATAAATTGCAAAGTAATTCCCTGCCAACAATCACAGGTCTTTTTTTTTTTTTAAAGAATTTTATCACATTGTATGTGAAGTTCTTCTAACACCCACGCAACTGTGACTATTTCCAGAAACAAAGTTACTGGATATCCTCTCAGCCAACACCTTTCTCACAGGCCTCTACAATCAAGGCACGACAGGTTAGCAGATTTAATATAGACAGGGAAAGGTCATTAAAAACTCAACATCTCAGCATTCTTATTACTGGTACAAGTGCTATTTTTGTGTTACTGCATACATCTTACATTCAGAAAAGAACTGCTTGAGCTAAACAGTCTTAACAGGGAACTAACTCAAGAGGTCAAGGTATCCAGCAGGGGGTGCTAACACCTGTAAACACAAATAAATGCTCTGGAACATAAAAGCTGAACTCCGGGCAAAATGTTTTGTCACTCTTGGAAAGTTAACGTCATACCTTCAGTCAATATTCTTCTGCTCTACAATGCAGTTAGCTAGCCAATTTACAATCCCACCTGAAATCCAGCATCATAATGTCTCAGTGTCTATTATTTCTTATTCATAAGACCAGTGATCACTATGCCTCCCCCCTACCCCTTCCCCAGTGGCTGTAGGTGGTGTAAATGCCTCCTATTATTCTCTCTTCCAACCACACCATGCCAGTTAAAACGCCTGAAAGTGCATTACATCGATAGAAAGGATAGATGCAGGAATTTCGGTTCGTTCCCTCTGTAGAACGTCCTTTTAGGCGTTTCAACCCCCGGGACCCGTTCATTTCCTCACAGATTCTTCATAAGGGGTGTGCTGACTGACCTGGTGGGGTTGGGGAAAAGGTGATTGATCACTCGGACCTTTGGTAGGGGACAGCTCACTATAATCTGAGGTGAATACCTTGCTTGTAAGTATGTACTCCACTGGGATTCACATCAATTTTGTATAATCTGATCAAACTATTTTAACCCCTTAGTGACTGAGGGTACAACAAATCTTAATGCCTGAACACAATTTAGCAACTCTGACATGTATTAGTAAAATTTTACATATCATTACAACTACTTTGTGCATTATACCTTGTTTTTTTCAGTACAAATTGGGCTTTCTTTTGGTGATAAAGAGTAACATATCTCCTGATTTTTTTTAATCAAAGGAAAACTGGCCCAAAATAGTAAAAAAAAAAAAAAAAACATTTTTTTTTTTTTTACATTTAGCAGTATATTTCTTGCTACTACTATATACTACAAAAAAACATTCCAAAATACATTCTCCTGCTCCTGACGATTGCACCAATACCATATATGTGTACATTATTTGTTGTTTGCACCCATAATAAGGCCCAGAAATAAGAATGGGAATTTTCCTTTTTTTTTTTTTTAAATTTTAAACCTACCTAAAAACACACCGACACTAACTGACATTCACTGACCATGACTTTTGACCCTGGCACTGGCCTAGATCTAACCTTGATCTAGATCGTTTTTATGTGTTCTTTTATTATTTATTTTTACATGTTTGTTTACTTTCTCTCTGCAATGCGAGAGTGATAAAATGTATCTCTCTCGCATTAAGAGAGAGAAAAAAAACAGGAGGGAAGGGCTGCACAGTGACTGATCACTGTGATACCCAGCCAATCAGAGCCTATCACAGTCAACGGGTGACCCAGAATCGGGAGTCCCAGGTCCTGATCATTAGCACGAGATCCAGGGCTTTCGGGTGAGAGCCTGGTTGTCGAGCTCCCAGCACAAAAACAGGTCCGTATATATGTGGCCCCACGGCAAAAAGCCCCAGTTCTGTGCGTTCGCATATACGTGTACAGTTGAGCGGGAAGGAGTTAATATGCTTTTGCTGGTTTATTTTAGATGCACATTCTAAATGCTCTTCAGATGTGGCTGTAATATATACTGTTCACTCTCTTATCTTTCACAAAGCATTTAAGTTGCTGGGGTCCCAAATAGTAGATGAGATCCCCAAAACATGTAGGCCAACTTATGCAACGTTAATTTGGTGATCAGGGTGTTTGTGTGCAGGGGCGGACTGAGAACTCATGGGGCCCCCGGGCAATAGGGGATCATGAGGCCCCTGTGTCCTTGCCCACACTCAAAAAAGCCTATAAAAAAAAAAAGGTACCAGGGTCATTTCATGGGGCCCCCTACTGACCCCGGGCCCTCGGGCAGTACCCGAGTGCTCGAATGGTCAGTCTGCCCAATTTGTGTGTGTTTTTATATATATATATATATATATATATATATATATTATATATATATATATATATATATATATAGATTTATCATTTATTAGATACCCACACATACACACTGTATTTACACACACTTTTTTTGTTATGGGGCCTAGGAGCTGCTAGCCATAATGTGCTCGTATGTATATAGCATATTCAAACATTATGGCTGCCAAGTGATGAGCAGTCAGCACTCCCACCAGGCACAGGTGCTACCATTTTCTCCCAATTTTTTTTTTCCTTCTGGGTTATGAACCTTTGCCCATTTGGTTGGCCGTGCCACGATGATGTCACTTCACCATGGAACAAAACAGTTCTGCAATTGTACTCTGAGCTGTGGATGCAGTAATAGTGTCCCTTTTGTCATAAAAATCCTACGTCAGCATTTTTTTCAGGTTTAAATCAACTTTAACAGTTCAAACTATACTTTGGATATTGCTGTTAGTGCAGAATTTAAAGCTGGACTCCAGAAATGTAATCACTTTTTAAAATGGTCCAGTTTATTATGGGTTAATTCCGACAAGGTATATGCCACCGCTATGGATATACTTCCAGGGCTCCAATGCTGGACCTTCCACTCTCAGCTCCAGCAGCTGCAAAGTTGTTCTGCCCACCCATCTTCTCCACTTGCCCAATCAAGGAGCACTTTGTATTATGTTAACCTGTTCACAAAATACAAAGCCTTCTGTGAATGTACAGCAGCGGGGAGGGGTGGGCAGAGTGGCTGCGGTATGAGAAAGTAGCATTGTTCCTGCCACAGCACCAGGAATATAGTGATAGCTGCACTCCCAGCAATCAGTAAAACTAAATTGTAAATAAAAGAGAGAAGTGTCCAAGGTGGCATACACCTCTGTGGACAACCTATTGTAAACAAGCTCATTTTTAAGCTGGCTAAATTCCTGAACTTGAACTTTAAACCTGGGTACTTTTTTCCATAAGCAGATTTCTTAAAATACAAGAGGTGATTGTAGCCATATTAGTGCATTTGCGACAGAAACAATTGAGTACTGTCCGTGATACTTTTTTTATTTGCACTAACATACAATTTTGAGGACAAGCTTTCGGGGTATGTCCCCTTCTTCAAAGTCCAAGCAGTACTCCTTGGACTTTGAAGAAGGGGACATACCCCGAAAGCTTGTCCTCAAAATTGTATGTTCGTGCAAATAAAAAAAAGCATCACGGACAGTACTCAATTGTTTCTTAAAATACAAGTAAATCATAGTTCATCTAGGAATCTCTGTCCACGATACAGAGGCCTACTAGAGCAGATGAGGGCTGTAAAATTCAGCAAATTTCTGTTGCCATAAGACCTCAAGAGGTTTTTCATTTTGTGCTATGGACCTTCTACAGTCTTATGCACTCACCTGTACACCACTCAGGCCTGGAAGAGGTGTTGCAGATGCTTGGGACAGCTGCTGGGGTTGGAGCTGTTGCAATTGTATCTGATGTGTTTGTTGCTGCACTTGTGGTGTTGGCGGTTTGCTTTCTAGTTGGAGAAGAGGCTGGAAAAGAAGTTTATTGTCTGGGAGTTCCTGTTTCACTATGAGATTCTTTCGAAGTTGCTCCACTACAAGTTTCTGGAAGACAAAATACATATGCCATCAGCCAATGTTATGTTCTTAATTACAGCATTTTCAGGAACACCGCTTATACATTACTTCAGTCCACTGACAGAAAGTTTGAATCTATGTGCAATGAACATTTTTTTGCATGTTATTTACCTGTACGATTATCCCTTGTGCAGGTATCCAAAAAACCCGAGACTGTTGCTGGGTGCCGCCATCTTGGATGTGATGTCAGCAGTCCCTGCAGACTGTCACTGAAGTGGCACTATAGTGTTTCCCTTGTGTTTCCCCTAGCAGCTAAAAAAAGGTTATGCAAGGGGATGATGGGAAGGGAGGATGAGCTGGACCAGCACAGAGAGTGATTAGACACTCCCTGAAGGAGGGAGGGCTATGCCATTCAAGGAAGGAGGGGGCTATATTAAGAAACTGACCCTTCCTGAAGTAGTCACATTTTATAGCTAGCTCAAAATGCATTATAAAAGTAATAAACAAATAATTTCTAGAAAGGAAAATACTGCAAGTAAGCATTTAAAATACACGATTTTGGTCTTTTACCTGCAATTTTTTAAGCTGGTGGTGGGGACTCTTTTACACAGTTTTAATTTAATTGTGCTGTTCACACCATCCGTTAGTGCCGTGGTGTACAAATAAAAGAAAACCTTTTGTGAGCTTTCAGGGCTTGTTTATACTTGCATTCAGATTGCTCTTCAGAGAGCATTTGAGAGGCGGCAGAGGAGGCATTGTATTGCCTGTTTTAACCCCCTAAATACCGGACTGCCACAAGGTTGTAATGTGGCCTTATTCACTTGAATCGGTAATGTACAGCAGGCGGTAATGCTCACCATACAAGATGGGGGTAGAATTTCTCCCCCAGCCATGAAGCAAAGCATCCCAGCCCCAGATTGTGTACAACCAGCCAAGGAAGGGGGGGGGGGGGGGTCACTAACTGCTAGTGGTGGTTCTCCAGTCTACTGTGAAAAAAATAAAGTCAGCAGCTACGAAAACTGTAGCTGCTGCCTTTTTAAAAAACAGCCACTTACCTGTTCCATGATCCAGCGGTGTGCTCATCCCATCCGGGTTCACCTGCCGTCTTCTGCCTCCGATGCAGGCATCTTAACTGTGGGCACCCGCCTGTGACAGCTTGCGGCTTCACAGCCGGGTGTCCACTACGCATGCGCATTGTGAATGGTCTTGCAGTCTTCTGGGACCTGTCAAGTGTCCCAGAAGTCTGCAGGGAGGGAGGAGAACTTCCGCTTCCGATTGCCTAGGCAGTCAGAGCTGAAACCTGTCAAGTCGGGTATCCGCTCCCCCACCCCCACAGGTGTCAATTCTTCACGGGGAGTGGGGGACAAGTCTTTAAAGCGGAACCTCTCCTTTTGGGTGGAGTTCTGCTTTAAACTGATTTCCAGTCTTACTTACCCCTCTGAGTTATTCCCATAGGTTTTAATATAGGTTTTTCAATTTTAATGCCACCAAAATATCGGTCTACTGGACAAATCTAGCATGGTGACATTCAGATATGATGATTTCCTATCACCACCATGAAAGGGACTTTAGAAAATCTTGTTTCTTTGTTGCAATACAACACATACTGCAAATAGGAGCAAAGCCTGTGTAGTTACAAAACAGCAGAGTCATGAACCTTCCAAACAGTACTGTAGACATACACAATTCACAACAGTATTTGCAAACCAATATGTGTCATCAGATCTGGACTATTTATATACAACTCATTGCATCGTATAAAATGATTGCAGAACTTCCAGGATAATTATAAAAAAACAACATTTTGAGAGTTCAATAAAAGGACTGTGCAGATCGTCATCGAGCCTCTCCACTCTGACAAAGACTCAGTGGCTGCAGCTGAGAGATACAGGGACATGCTGGACGATGAAGAAGTACAAAAAAAAAGGAGGCAACATAGATGGGGGAGGCCTGGCAATACAAGCAGACTGTAGTGGCAGCCAGCTGTCGTTTACCAGACAAATTTTGAATAGAAGGCTGCACAGGTACTAAAGAAGGAACAAGAACATCCATTCTTTTAGTAAAGTTTCTTGGAGACCTAATATCCTTACTGAACTACTGACGGATATGCAAGCTTCAACAATGCAAGCCCTCTTTCAGCCTACAGTGCCTCAGCAGAAGGGAACAGTAGGAAGCAGGTTGCTATAAGAATGATAAAGCCAGATGGTTTTAACAAGAGAAGACCAATCAGAAGATGAATTTTGACGGCAGGAGTTAAAGTGAGTCGCCTCACATTTTCTAACCCCCCCCCCCCCCCCCCCCCCCCCCCCCGCCTTTTTGCTGCTTCAGAAATGAAACAAAACCTTCACAAACAGAACAAATATGCAAGCAAATTTTCTTCGGTAGCAGAATGAAAAACAAATCTCACATCTGAATGCATGCATCAGAGATAATGAATGCAAGTCAGCTCCTAGACTCAGGCTTGATATTTACAGAGGGTGGTCAGCTGGCTTGCTTGCCTGCAGCCCTGTGTGGAACGAACTGAAAGACCTGTTCCTGTGATTTTTTTTTTTTTCCCCCGCAACGTTAACAATTTATGAAAAGAAGACAGAACAGGCACTGAAGGCTGAGAGGCAGTAAGTGGATGAGGTTACTGTGAAGCACAAAATTAGCCCCGAGTTCCACATCAGTTAACAAGTTCTAAGCTATGTGTAGATATATCTACACACAACACACAAGAAGTGCTGTACATGTATTCATGTACTGAAGAGGATTGGCCAGTGTGGTGACGAAAAGCAAACAAAAGCTTAGGAGGCCTGAAAATAAACAAAAACACAGAAGTGGCATGACATACAAAGTATCTCCACACATGTACATAAAACTCTGGGGGGGTAATTTATTATTATTATTAAATTTTCCATGTTAATGTTATGCAAGCTTTGATGCAAATATGTTTTATTAGGATTTAGGGCTCATGCACATACACAGACGCATTCCTCCCTACCGGGTACACACTGGCGTATTTTGGTGTCCGGGAGCAGTGTATGGTTTACCATGTGTATGAATGGGTGAAGGTAGCTGAAAGCAGGTATGTGCCGCTACTGGCATAAAGGGGCAACTAGACAGCACCAGGGGCTTCCAGGCATCAAAATATGGCAGCGTGTTTGCGGTGTACGGAGGAATGCACCCTGTCCATGAGCTCTTAGCATTTATTTTACCTGTATAGATGTTACAATATTTAGATGCCAATACAAGTATTTCTTCTTTCATGGTGGTGGTAATGAACAATGAAGCATCTAAGTATGCGCTTCTTCAATGCTTATTTTCACCTGGTGATCCTGCCAGTAAGTTTGTTTTTCAACAGAACAAGCTGTCCTGCAGATGTAGCAGAAGGCTGAGACAAACCATTTACCACCGACAGAGGTGCTTGTAATGGTCAGCTTTTATTTATGTAAAACATTTACCCCAAAGGGAACAAAACTGCTATAACTGCTTAAAAAGTGTTAGCTGGAATTTTGCTTCAATTTGTATCTAAATCTGCTAGTACATCTAACACCCCCCCCCCCCTCCTTCCTACCTGTCCAAAGGTGTCTTGCTTCAATTTGTATCTAAATCTGCTAGTACATCTAACACCCCCCCCCTTCCTGACTGGGTGTCTCCAAAGGTGTCTCGCTTCAATTTGTATCTAAATCTGCTAGTACACCTAACACCCCCCCCCCCTTCCTCACTGTCCAAAGGTGTCTCGCTTCAATTTGTATCTAAATCTGCTAGGACATCTAACACCCCCCCCCCCTCCTTCCTGACTGGGTGTCTCCAAAGGTGTCTCGCTTCAATTTGTACCTAAATCTGCTAGGACATCTAACACCCCCCCCCCCCTTCCTGACTGGGTGTCTCCAAAGGTGTCTCGCTTCAATTTGTACCTAAATCTGCTAGTACACCTAACACCCCCCCTCCTTCCTCACTGTCCAAAGGTGTCTCGCTTCAATTTGTATCTAAATCTGCTAGTACATCTAACACCCCCCCTCCTTCCTGACTGTCCAAAGGCGTCTCTGTTGCTCCTGCATTCAGAATGGAGGCACTCCTAATAAAACTGGTGTGCCCAGGTGAAAAAAAATGGAGAAATGTCTAAAAAGAAAACCAATGCAGTCACCACATCTAATGATCTGTAAGCTCCCAAATATGCATTCCTTTACTTATATCAAACTCCTTTGAAGGCAGGGTGTGCGAACCCCCAAAATGCACTGGGTTTCCCATTTTCTTTCAATAATAGTCAGTACTCTGGACACATCTCCTTTTTCTCCACAGACTGTCAAGTCTCTATATGGGATGAGAAGTACTCCTGACACTCGGAAGGGTTGGCTAGAGTTGTTTAGTTCAGTTAGGTTGTTTAGTTAACCCTTGCATTGCCCAATAGTCAGAGCCATTGCTCTAATCGGCCAAGTCACTTTTACCATTCTGTGTACGACTACCCTTCGTGTAAGCAGTACAGCTATATGCAAAATATCTAGTTGAATGAGTTGCTTTTTCAAAATTACAAAACAAAAAAATACAAAAAACTTCCAATGGTCACCAAATTAATAAAATGAAATGCCATTAACTGTAAGCGAATATGAATTGAGTCCAATGTACATGGACTTGTATAACTGTCACATTTTTTTCCTCATCACTTGTTCATCTATATTTACAAGTTTTGTTTTTGGTTTTTTTTTTTGGATTGCTGCATTATTTTGTACATGAAAGTCAGTTCACAAAGATTAAGGGTTTGTCATATGTTAAAATACCTTCTGCCCAGCAAGAAAGCCTAACTCCAGGTTTCATTTAACGTCAAATAGTTTAGTCCAAACTGGTCTAAATGAACAATTTCCTTCATTAATACATATGCCCCTTGTCAGCGCTGTTTTAAAGTGTTACTAAACCCCGGGCCCTGCATTCACTATATCTGCTCTCCCCGGACCCTGCATTCACTATATCTGGTCTCCCAGGACCCCGCATTCACTATATCTGGTCTCCCCGGACCCTGCATTCACTATATCTGGTCTCCCCCGGACCCT